AGCCTATTCAAAGACTTGGTGCTCAGGCACCAAAGGGTGTAAGCTTTCTAACTCATGGGAATTCGCCGTTGGTGAAGGAAAGTGATTCCAAAAAATTAAGTCAGCAGGTAGTTCCTTCTAAGTCAGACAATACACAAAAGCCAAACAATGTTATCAAGATTCCAACTGAAACTGCAAGTACACCACGTGGCATAAACTTCCTTTCCTTTGGAAGAGCTCCTTTGACTGATCCCACTCCCCAGACAATGCCAAACTTGCTTAACAGGGATTGCAGAATTGGAAAATTTCAGTTTGGTGAATTCTGTAAAGGTAAAGAAGCTGGTTCATCTCCTCCAACAAGTGGTGATATTTGTAAATTTGAGACGAGAAGTGAAACCCCCATTAAATCTACACCTCGAGGTATTAGCTTACTCTCATTCAGCAAAGCTTCATCAGATGGTTCGAGTTCAAAAGACCAAAACATCAGTTGTAGTAAAGAGCACAAGATCACTTCACATGTGGCTCCTCATGAGAGACAAGATTCTCCAAGTAAAATAAAATACTCCAAGAACATGCAATTTAATCTGTTATCTTCTTCACTTTCATCCAATCAGCTCTTTGGTCAGTCCACAGTGGGACACAGTGTAGGACTTCCCAGCTCATCATTCTTGGTAAATATGCCAGGCTCAGCACAAAAGGCCCTCCAAACAACTTTAGCATTCTCAGCTAAGTTCGAGCCTGGAATCAAGTTAGATCAATCAATTGTTCCTTTTCCTTAATTGCCCACGCCGTATGATGATGGATTGGTGGAAGCAAAGTGTTACTTGCGTTGTTCATGATGCACATGATTTAGTTGTTATTATTGCGCTCAATCCAAGACACGATATTGCAACGTGGAGAAGAGTTGGAAGGGATAACATAAGGTTATCTTGTCTCTCCCCTTTCACATAAATGTCTAAAAGAGGATTTTTTTACAGATGCTTCATTGATGCCCTTTTTATACTTTTTTCCCCTTTCATGAAATGTATTTTCATCAAACGAAACCTCTTTATTTCTTATATAGACAAATTATCATTTTCATTTCAGTTTCGGAAGCAGTGCTCTTCTCAAGTTATATAGAACATAGTCAACATACTTCTTCAGTTGTGGCCTAACACAGGCATCCCTTGTATTCTGCAGGTAACGTAAACACAGTACTATGTGTTTTCATTTTCTTGTACCATTAAAGACTAAGAGAGAAGAGAAATGCTTCATCAATTGCTAACCACCCAGTCTATAGTGCATGTGGGTTATACATCACCAAATGTAAGTGTTCTTCTCTTTGATTCGTGCTACTACAAAGTTTTTTGTGGGTTCCTAGAATCTTAGCTCAGAAGACTGCAAAGGATAGATGAGTGTTGTTTCCATTAGACTTTAAATGTATTTACTTTCCAAAACTTCACACAGAGAAGCAAAGAAACTTTAATTTTCCATTTTGACCTAGTGCATTATGTATGTAATAGCAAAACATTGTCAGTGATGACTTTTAACTCCATTGGCTAAAAGACGGATCATTGTAAAATTCATGAAACATTTCTACCGTTTACATAACAATTCCCATTGAAAAAGTTTGATCTTGTGCTGTCATAGTTTACGGGCTCTAGAATCTGAAGGGGCTGCCGCCTTGATGGACTTAATCAAGCACAAAGGATAAACACCATCAGTTTAGGCCATTAACTAGCTTTGCTAGCACCCCCTGTGGCTTGGGAGGTATGTATCCCTACAGTTGTACAACCTGCTGTCACACATTGTAGAGAAGTAGGACCAAATGATGGTTCAATCAAGGTCTCTTTGGATTGGTTGGCTGGGGAAATTGGGAAAGAATTTAACATTTTAGTTGTTTCTTCTCGAAGTCACGTGACTGCATGAATAGCTGTTACTCCCTCCGTCTACAAATTGTTGTACATATAAACGGGCCGTTCCAGGTCTAGCAAATCTTAAATGTTGAGAACCTCCACGACCTATTTGAACGAAGGAGCCAGCCCCCCCCCCCCGTTTTTTCATAGACGGAGTAAATAAATAGGAAAGAGTTTCGTTTTTTTTCATAAAGCGTGCTTTAAAAAATACATTATTAGTCCTTATACTTTTAAAAACAGTGCATGATTGGTCCTCATGTCTGATTTTTCTAATGTATTGAAGACACAGCTCTTATGGTGGTGTAACTATGAGTTGAATTTTAAGCTAGTATATGACATGTCAGTTGCCTAAAATACCCTTCGCACATACGGAGTATTAATATCTAAGGCGGAAAATTATTTGGGGTATCTACGATTTTCTGATAATAACTTTCAAGTCCCACAATATCTGAAATATACTCCGGGCTACTTTCAGTTTTCTTGTAAAAATTTTAAGATCTCACATTATCTGAAATATACTTTGGGGTCCTTAAAATTTGTGGTATTATACTTCGAGGGTACATTTCGTCTATTTAGGCCTTAGGATTGAAAGTTCTTTTATTTTGATAAATTAAAGGATATTATTTAAATTTAGTAAAATAATGATTATAAAGGTAAAATTTGGTATTTGTCAAAGTAACGTAACTTTCCGGGCGGAGTTTATTGCACCAATATCCCATTGGTTTGGTAAATGCGTATCGTTACCTCTCATGGTTTCAAATTTTCAATACTCACCTCATTGTTTCTCATGATTCTGATATTGATAGGCCAGTGCCACTCTAAACTAAAATCTTTCAAATATTAGGGGGCAACAGAGTTAGTCACCCAATATTTGAAGGATATTTTAGTCTAGAGGGGCATTGACGTATTACTATCAGAACCATGAGGGGTAATAACGTAAGTTTTAAAATCATAGAGGGTATTGGTGCAATTAACTCTCTAGTGGCCAAATAGACGAAAATAACGACTCTCGGAGTATATTTTGGGTAGTGTGGGAACTAAAAATTCTTACTAGTTAATTGAAAGTACCCTAAAGTATATTTCAGATAATGTGAGGCCTGAGAGTTACTGCTAGAAAATTGAGGGTATCCTAGAGTAATATCATGTGTTTAAGGCGTGGAAGAATGTTGGCGTAGTAGCAAAGTGTTCAAGTCCACTCCTACATTTAAGATGTTGAGACTAAACAAATATACATTCATATGTGTGGGAGCAACTAAAAAAAAAGTATTTAAGGCAAGTTAACTCTAATCCAAAAAAGTCTTGACAAACTCATCAATAATGTCTTCATCAAGCTCCATATATAAAATGTCATTGATGAAGTTTTTTTTTTTAATTTCTTTCAAGTTACGGGTAAGGCGTTTAACACAAAAAAAATCTTTGACTTTTAAGAAAAAAAGTACTCTTTCCATCCTAAAATAAATTGTTTTTTACTTTCTTTGTTCTAAATTAAATTACTTGTTTACTATTTACATGGTCAAACTTCATTTACTTTATTTTTCTATTTTCGTTAGTCATTTGATAAAATAATATAGTCATGTCAAACTTCATTTTTTGCCTATTTTAAATACTCATTTGATAAAATAATATGATTATGGCATCTCTTGTTTCGTGTAACTTTTGATACTCTCTTCGTTCTGGAGTATTTGCTAACTTTTGTTTTTTTCATCAAAATTGGTAAACTTTGATCCCAAATTAAATAAAAATGATATCCCTCTGTTTCAAAGTATTTATCCACTTTTGACTTATTTTGGTCAAAAATGGTAAACTTTGATCTCAAATTAAATAAAAATGGTATTAGGTATTGATACAAAAATTTTTTTATTAGGTTTATTATATAAAAAATTTTCAAAATATTATTTTACCTAATTAATATAAAGTATATATTTTATTTAATAATAAGTCAAAGATTAAAAATGATTGACTAGAAAATGCCAAAACTGGACAAGTACTCAAGGGCGGGGGTAGTATTAGATATTGATATAAAAATAGTTTTATTGGATTCATTATAGAAAATATTTTTAAAATTTTATTTTATTTAGTTAATATACAATATATATATATATATATATATATATATATATATTTTATTTTACTATAGGTCAAAGATTGAAAATGATTGACTGAAAAAAGTGAAAATTGGACAAATTCTCTGGGACGTAGGCAATATTATTTTTAAATGTAAGGCCCGTCCCCATATCAAATAGGCTAGCTCTATCTCTCAACAGGGTTTCCCTCAGTTCCTCAGCAGCACCTCGAGGTGCATTTAGTTGTCTTACATGATAATACTCCGTACAAGATAACTTGACTTAAATATTAATGTATGGGTTCTTGGGTATGCCCTGTAAGCACTTCCAAGACTAGTGTAAAAAGGTATGAGCTTAGCGATGATCATTAGTGTAATCCAACACCGGTAGGAAATTCTATTACTACCCCACTTTGGTTTTTCACGCTCATTTTTGCACCATCGTACATATCCTTAATCGCATGAATATAAGCAATCCTTGCTCTCTTTTTCTCTAATACCTTTCCCAAGTCTTTTTTTGGTACCATGTCATATGCCTTTTGAAATCAATAAAAGTTATGTGTAAGTTATTTTCTCACTTGGATCTCTAGTCTCAACCTTCGTTCTTCCACTCTTTCTCGCAACTTTATCGTGTGACTTATTGGCTTGATTCATCTATAGTTTCCACAACTTTGAATATTCTCCTTATTCTTGTAAATAGGAACCAAAATGATCTTCCTCCATTCGTTAGACATCTTCTTAGACTTCAGAATATCATTAAAAAGCTTAGTTTGCTAATGTCCTTTCCTCCTAAACTTGTCCAAACCTCAATCGGGATGTTGTCTGGGCCAACTGAGATGCTATTCTTCATCCGTTTTGGAGTCTCCTTCAAATTCTTGAATTCTTCAATAATAGTTGAAGTTTTGGTCCTCGTTCCTTACATTTAGCCAATCGAAGCATGAGTGATTCACATGTCCCCTCATTAAACAATTCATTGAAGTAGCTCTTCCACCGCTTATTTATGCTTTCATCTAAGGCCAGAACTTCACCACACTTATCTGCAGCGAACAATATATTTGAAAAAAAATTGTTAATATTTATTCAGGCGAAAGAAATCTCTTGGCTATATGTTCATTTTTTAAAGAAAAATAAAGTAAATGAGAAGTGTTTTTTTAAGATATTCAAAAAGCAGAGAGTAGGTAATATTATTTTTTGCGACGGATGGAGCAATATTCAAATTCACACGAATAATTAGGGCTAAGGCCTTGGGGTGTGCCCAGTGAGGAGGCCAAACGGGAAGCCACTTGGCGTGGGAAGAGAAGAGGAACACCCCACCCGCCCGCGGGAACGGGAAGAGCGAGAACCCCTCCCCATTTTCTCCGTTGGCCTTAAACGGTAGAATTTCTTTTTTTTTGGGTTTTTTATGAAATAGCGGTTAGAAATTTAAAAGTGACGCATTAGGAATTGTGTATGACAAGAAAACTATATGATCATAAGTTACACTTTTAGCCATCAAATTAACATCAATAAGACAGAAGATCAAAAAATACTATTTGTGAAAAGATACTCATAAAAAAAAGACCACATGAATAATACTTGATAATAGAGGACTAAATAGGAAAAACATCATGCTACAAGGAGCCAATTATGGAATTTACTCAATTAATAAACTGCTATGGAAATACGATCTTGACATACGTGAACTTATCTTGGCAACACCAAGTGAATGTAGATTTTTAATACTTGTAATTAAAGAATAACCAGATGACTTTTTTCATTATGTTTTAGTCCTATTTAGGTAAATTACTCCAATTTTTTCCACTAATTTAATAATACCTCGCAGTCTTACACCTCTTCTTCTTTTTTAATGGCGGAACTCCCATGCTATAACTATAATTTATTTGCATAATTTTTAAATATACTCCGGAGTATTATATTAGGAATTCTTTTAAAAAAAGATTCACTTAAATTTACAGTATATTTTTAAATTTTAATAAAAACATATACTCCACAAAATATTCCACGTATCCTCTCTCTCCTTCTTTCCTCGCTATACTTTAATCACTCTCCTGCCCGCACAAGTGGCTTAAGTGATCCTGAGAGAGGAGTGTTAAGTCCGAAATTTCAGAATTAATTTCCAGTAATGACAGTGTGAAAGATTTATCCAATGTGCTAGCTTCTTGTGCAATACAGACACGTAACGCCTCTTGTAAGACTAGATTAAAATTATACTAAAATTTACCCGCTCTAGGGTGTGACGTGTGTAGATGCTCGAAGTAAACGCTTCACCTTATTTTTAAAAAAATTAATCATTCAATTGACTTTCTACAACTAATGCTCTTGATAGGCTAGGTTGTTTTTCTTTTAAAAAAAGATAATCTAGATTTTAATTAGATTGAGCTCTTAAACATATTGACATACAGAATATATTTAAATTTTAATCATCGCCTCTCGGTCGTTGACCGGTTTGATGATTAACTCTTGACTCAATTACTTGCCAGATTCAATGTGCTATCTGGTTTTCAGAACATTGCATTAAAGGTACTCATAAGAACAATATACAGAAAAGGACATGGCCAAATTATTCAAATTCAATTTCTTTAATAAAGGAATTACTTGTTGTATAGCATAAAATAATTAAGTTTTGTTGAAAAACTTCCATTTAACAACAGCAAATGAACCAACAATCAGTGTAGCTAGGCATGAACCAGTAATAACTGAGATGTAAAATGCGGTTAGTCATCCATTCCTAAAACTTCAGATCGTATACTGGTATTAACACGTATCACATTCGCAAACGGGTACAAAATTCAATATATATTGTGGTTTGTGAATATAGAAAAATGAAAAAAAGTTTGGGCACATGTGATGTACAAAACTATTGAACTAATGACAAAATGTTTTCTCTCCGTCCGTCCCAAAATAAAGTTCTACATTGGATTTTAGCATCGTCGTCAAGAAATTGAGAACTAATGTGAATTGCACAAGATCTTATTTTGGGACGAACCAAAAAGGAAAATATCGAGCATTATTATATGGCACAAAGGGAATATTATTTACCAGCCCGGCTTCTTAAAGGGGTTGCCCTCAGACTTAACAGCAGCAGCTAGAGATGTTGAGGAAGAAGAAGAGGAAACATTGTTAGCCCTATCAAACTCTTCTTTGTCCTCTGTGAATGCTTTGGTCAGAATTTCTTGAAGTTCCATATACCTTCGCCTCTTTGATCTATGCTCCTCGGGTGTCTCGTTACCCACACAGGCAATCTCTGATAAGTCATCATTGTCCATGATTTTATTGATGATTCCATAGCAGCGTGGGAAAAAGCGTTTTCCTAGTTCCACTGGACATGGTAAAAAAACACGGAAAATGATGCAAGGAAAACAAAAGGGCATAGATGATATGGAGATGAATGAACTTGGAGGGCAAAAAAAACCTGTTTTGGAAAGTGCCCTCATTCGATTCAGATGCTCCTCCTTGATCTTGAAAGGGACATCGTTCAAATCTACCGTCATTCTTCGGGATGCATCGGCCATGCTCTTGTTTATGCAAGCCAGAGGGAACTCATAAGTGGCATCAACTTGGGCAATATCCATTGCAACTTTAGCTTCAATTGGGAAGAGAAGTCTAGCCAGCCCAACTGTAGAAAAACAAACTCAACCATCAATCGGCAATGTGATAGCTGCTTCAATGCTACGTTGTCTAGAAGGATCGAGCCTCCTAAGAGATGATTTCATAGTGAGACAGGTCAAATTGTACTTTCATGGTTCAAGTAATACAGATAATTTTTAGAAAAAAACAGTCTCTTGATAAGTATTACTTTCTATGTCCCTTTATTTTATCTTCACTCCTTTTTGCACTAGAGTTTAGAAGTTAACATTTAATCACTTATAATCTCCCACATTTAGCAAGGAGGGTAAGACAAAGACTTAAAAAATGGTCAACTATAACTCTCTTAGATGCTTGTTTGAAGGAGATTGTGTGCAGTGACTGAAGCACAATTAACAACAAAAAAAACTATAATTAGATAGATGATGGTGATAGAAAATGAGAAGACTTGCAGAATGATGGTTTACCTCTATTCTCAAGGTACAACAATTTCATGCGCAGATCATCCCCAGCCATAGCAAGAGATTCAGAAGCTTCTCCGAGTATAGGATCTCTTCTTTCTGCTTGCTCCAGAATCTCAATGCACAACCGATCCTTTGGAGTAGCTTTACCTTCCTCTGCAGGTTTCTTATAATCCATGGCACGAGTGAGCCTCTTTGCAATTTGGAGTGCTTTCCTGCCATCTAAGGTCAAATCAGAGGACCTAGCCCCCTTTGTCAAAAGGGACACTATGATTTTAGGATCTTTTCTTGTTGCAGCAACATGCAACACTGTGTATCCCCTCAGATTCCGATGGTTTACATCTGCAATTGCTAGATCAAGTAACTCTGCTGTAGTCTTTGCATCACAATAGGCTACAGCATAGTGGAGAGCATGTGCATCATCTAAATTGGTATGACCTTCTTTTAATAGCATCCTCACCAATTCAACATCATCGGATTCCAGAGCTCTGTGTATTCTCTTCACATGTTTATTTGGAAAACAATTGCTTTCTGGCACTCGCAGGCAAAGCTTCGTGCGGGAATCAGTAATATCTTTTACAATATGAAAAGGCAATGCCTTTTCAAGAGCTATTATATCAACATCTGATTTGACAATAATATCCCTGCAACTGGAAATTAATTCCTCACAGCTTATACCACACGCGTTTGCAACTGAAAAAACCATCAGTACATCATCTGCTGCAGCTTTATCAAGAACATTAAGAAGCTGTCTCTGCAGCACCAACAGAAAGATGGAAAAACTTCAAGAAAAAATATAAGGAGTATTTAACACCAACAAATAAAGATCGCCAGTTGCTAGTTGCTACCCACAAACTTTTAAATCTCAAAAGAACCTGCACAGGACAATAGATTCCATTGCATTTACTTTGTTAGAGCTACAAGGCTGATGGCAAGAGTCATAATTTCCAAACGGTCTTTAGGTGTTATTTAGCAAATCATTAAGTAGTATAAACTGATTAGTTTTAATGCCATATCAGCTCCAAAAATAGTTTTCCATGCAAGTTATTGTTCAAGATGTAGGCCCCGTTTGACATCAACGTTAGAGATAAGCGTTAGCGTTTCGAAAAGGCTATCCGACGGTAGTCTTTAGCGTTAGCGTTTTCAGAAATAATCTACATCATTTAAATTTTATCCAAAATACTAACGCTAATCAGAAACGATGTTCCCAAACAAGGTCGTATAGTGGTAGAGAATAGCCCAAGCTGATTTTGATCTCCACTGTTACTAGACTTAGCTATGGAGAAATATATTGACGCATCATTCCCATTTGGTCGTGGGAAAGCTGATTCGAAGACAAATCTATGTCAATAGAGGGAAGACAATATTTGGAAAAATCATTTTGATGCCTTTTTTTCACCTCCTACTTCTAAATAACTAAATTGATAAGATCATGTATATTTTTAACGTAGCACTACGTATTATATAGAGCCTCAGTGCTATCAAATCTTCCCAGAGGCCTCAAAATCTCTAATCCTAGATTCCTTGTTAAAAAAGAAGAACTAAAAAAGAATCAATCACCCTGATGTCAAAATATGCAAACCAATCTGTTAAAACACATATGGAGATCAATTAATAACAAAGGCATGTGTATAAACATAACACAAAAATCGCCAACTTGAACAGTGTTTCCAGTCCTAAATTTAAAGCAGAGTGATGAAAGAGATCGATACCTGAAACTTTGCAACCAATTCTGCTATCTCAAATGTAAAGGAAGCATACAATAGTTCCACCATGAACCCCAAAGCTGGCCTGCAAGCTACATGTGAGCACTCAATGTCAACACAAACACACACATCCTTGGGTGAAGCTCTAACTTTCCCGCTGTAAAGGTAGGCCAAAACAATCACTACTGCATCATAGCCCACCTCATACTCCTTCATCAACTCTTTCAGCTCCAGTTTGACACTCTTATCTTTCCCACCAAATACATTCTTGAAGAACGGACTCCTCGCCGACAATATACACCTGTGCACAGGAATTTCCTTACCGCAGACAGCCACCAGCTTCGCATCCGCGAAGAAGTCAAAATCCACAGAAGAAGACGATTCAAATATAGATTCTAGGGTTTCAGAGAGGCGCTTGAGCGAATTAAATTCCACCTGCCAAGGCTCAGTCGAAAAGGTCTCGGCAGCTCCAGCTGCCCAGCATATACTACTGATATCATTAGAATCCGAAAGTGCCATTCTTACATCCATATACAAGTTCTATATGATCAGAAATTGCATAAACACCGATCAAAATCACAGTCCGGCTGCCTATGATAACAAATTTAAATCATCGCAATCAGAAACAGAATAAAAATTCGATCGCAGCCGAAGAATAGAAGTTTCTAATTGGATCGCAGAAAGATAAACATCTAGGTTTATACCAGGTCAACGATAAATTGAATCGGGAATCGACGATGATTACAGCGGAGAAGAGAGAAGCTCCGGGATGCGGCGGCGATGAGAAGAGCGGCGAAGGGGAGGGCAACCGGGATCGGGAAGGAAAGATCGATGAAGAATAGCCACCGAAATGAGGAGGATTTGGGGAGGAGGAAGAAGAAGAAATGGAGGAGGGTTTGGGATAGGAGAGAAGAAGAAGAAGAAGTTAAAGGAGATAGAGACATGGCGGGATGATGATGATGATGACGATGGAAGGTGAGGTGATAAACGTTGAAAAAGGAGAACGATGAGAGGGAATCTGCCGCCACTCAGGTGACGTAAGTCTAGCAACCCCTGCTTGCATAAAGCTTTGTCATGGAACTCAATCACTCATGGAAGAAGTGTAATTTTGAGAATAGTGTTATCGTTTTGAAAAGACTATCTACGGTCAGCGTTTAGCGTTAGGGTTTTCAAAGTAATCTGTATCATTAACATTTTATCCAAAAGGCTAACGCTAATCTTTAACGTTATTTCCAAACAGAACCAAAATCAACCATGTCAGGGTATACTAAGAATGTACCCCAAGTTATACCTTAAAATAAATATTCTTGTTATTTATTGTTTTGTATACCTCTTGATTTAGTATTTAAATATACAATGTATAACTAAAATAGTTTATAAAAGAGATAAGATTCTACATGTTGTTTGATACGTATAAAACAATAATTTTGAAACGAAGAAACTAAAAAATTAAATTTCCTAGAAACTAGTACTCCCTCCCTCCTAAAAAGAGCATCATTGTTCCCTATTCAAAAATTACAAAAACTTTTTTTATTTGTAAATTTTCATTACTTATTATTTGATATAATAATATATTATTGTCAATTTTTGATTTGTTAAATTTTTTATGTAGCCTCTAAATATGTAAAACAAACTTCTTTTTTCTTCAAAAACAAATATTTTTTTTTAAAAGTAAAAAACTTAAAAGAAAGTGAGAACTTCTCTCCTAATTTGAGTAGTAGGAAGTTTTATTTTTTATTTCTACATCAATCTTTATATGAAATACATTTAAAAAATTTGATAGTTCACATGTTTTACGTAATGTGATACGGAGCATTCTTTTTGGGATGTAGAAGGTATCATAACTCATTGAGTCAATCTAAACGATGACGAAAAAACCTTTGTGAGTTTTATGTTGGACCCTGCTTTTGATGCCAATACCTTCACAAACACAAAATAACATCCGTGACGTCTGTGAAATTTTTAGGTCAAAAGTGGAGTGCAACTTAGGGATGATTCGATGATACTCCCTCCATCTGTCCCAGATTTTTTTAAATATAGTTTTTGTTTCTTTGAAAAAATCTTCTCATTGTTTTTTTAATAATTAAAATATCATAACTATCATATTCTCTATGTTTAAAGATTTCTTTTCCGATCTTCCTAGACACGAAAATATTTTAGTAGAATTTTATGTTTTTTTATCTAAGGGATTGTTTGAAAGAGATAAAAATGGATCACAACTTTCACCAACAACATCATTGCATATGCACCAATTTCTTGCACGACGCGCCGACCAATCATTGTTTAAATAATGAATAATGATTCGTGTTTTGACAAAAGATAACGTGTTACTGTACAAAATAAGTAGTCGCTCCATTTATTCTCACACACGGAGTATGACGCATATATTCTCTCCATTTACAAAATAAGTATATATATGGAGTAAATAAAAAATAGAATGGAGAACGATCAAAATATGAGTAATACATTGAAAATATATTAAAATAAGACTTTTATGTTTTTATTTCTAAAATAGAACTTAAAATGCATTTACATTACCAAACATGGTTATGTACATTACGAAAATGTATAGTAATGTACACATGTACATTGTCACATTATCACAGTGCGAAATCCTAGTTTGGGAAAAAAATATGAAAGACCTATGTTGGTACTTTTCTCTATATTTTAGTCTTATTTAGGGTGATTTCTAAAAGTATAACCTACATATTTAAAAAATAAAATTTATGTATTTAAAAAATGAAGTTTACAAATTAGTATACTCCATGTGTTGTTAAAAGATTGTGACAATTTGATTTTTTGGGTCAAATTGTGGTACTCTTTCACCATAAATTATGAAAAAATATTTCATTTTAATTTAAATTTACTAAAATTGGGTTTATTTTATAAAATAATTTTGAAATATAAATTTTTTATAATATTTAATTATTTTAAACTATATTTAATTTATAATCAAATATTGCTACAGTTTGACCAAAAAAGTTGAACTATAATAATCTTTTAGGGACGGAGGGAGTATATAATAATAATAATAGTAATAATAATAATAATAATAACAATAACAATAACAATAATAATAATAATAATAATAATAATAATTAGAGGAGTAATAATATGAAAAATGCATGTGTATAGATCTACATGGATAAAAGTAAAAAATAAGATAACAAAAAAACAACTCTTAGAGCATTAACAATGGCAAGACAAAAACAAAATGTCACATAGTGATATGAAATATTTCAACTAAAAAAATAACCTAGTCACTGTGTGACAAATGAGTGGAGTGTCGTAACATACAGTGACAAGTCATTCTTTTTGTCTATTTTTGCATTTTTTAATGATTTTTAATTATCAAAAATTATTTTACACATCTATTTTATTATTAAAATATGTCTACATCTTTAAAAAAATATTTAAAAAAAATTAAAAATATTAAAAGTATTAAAAAAATGGAAGAGTCATGCCTTGCACATGGAATGAAAGTGGGGTGAAAACCTGGAATGACCATGAAATACCATGATTTGGGTGGTATTTGCTGACATGACTAGGCAAGGCAACACATTTGTCTTGCCATTGTGAATGCTCTTATGTCCTCTAAGACCAGAATAAGAATATAATGACAGTGAGATATAATATTACATGTTGATATTATGATATAAAATTGATGAGAGTGCAATATAGCAGTGTGATCAGCCAACCGATGGCAAAAGACCTGGATCGGGGACCGACGAACCGGAGGTCAAACCTGTCTCGTCCGACCTTTTGGACCGCCTCATGCACCAAACCAATAAGAACTTGCTTGTTCCACCGATCATGCCAGTTTTTTTCGAAAAATTGGCCAAAAATTATACTCTCTAGGACTCAAACCTTTGACCTCCTATACATGATAGTACAAGGTACTCACCAACTGAACAAGAGTAATTTTTTGTTACATGTTTCAAGTAATATATATATACTTTATCCTTAAAAGAATAAATATGTATTAAAAGCATTCTTTTTTTGTTAAAACTAAAACTCTTAACATTTAAAATACGATTGGTATTAATATGAAGCACTTGTTGTAAAAAAAAAACCACTTATTTTTTTTGGATTATATCAGACAAAATATATGAAGAAAAATAGAAACATCTTTGTAGAAACATCAGGCTATTGTGTCTTCTTTGTAGATAATCTTGTTTCTTGGTCCTCCAAATGACAAGCCACCACATCTCGATCCCGTGCTGAAGCAAAATATCGTGCAGTTGCCAATGCCGTTGTCGAGACTAGTTGGATTCGTAATCTCCTACTCGAGCTACACCAACCACTACGTAGAACCGCCATCATTTTCTTTGACAACATCAGTGCAATTTACACATCCGAAAATCCGTTCCAACATCAGTGCAATTTACACTCGAGCTACACCAGCATGTCGAAGTTGACATCCGCTTTGTTCTAGACAAAGTAGCCCTTGGTCATGTGCACATCCTACACGTCCCATCATCATCTCAATTTGCCGAGATCTTCACTAAAGGCCTACCGCCCCTTCCCTTCATAGACTTCCAACATAACCTTGGAGTTCACTCTTCGCCGATGTGGTTGGGAGCATGTTAAATATTCTCCATATTTGTGTTAATTATATTAACTTTGGTAACTTTCCTTATCGTATAGGATTCTTTATTACTCCTTCCGTCGCACATCTTTCTTCTCACTTTACGTTTCGGGCCGTCCCATTTGATTCTTCCCGTTTCCTAAAATGGAAAAAAATTACACCCAAAATTACTCTTTTACCCTTTTATTCTTTTATTCTCCCTCTCATCCCCCAACTCAAATTATCTCTTCTATTCTTTTATTTTCTCTTCTTTGATTTTCGTTCTTCACTCAGACCCCCCTCCCCCATCCCTTCTTATTCTTCTTCTTCCTTCTTCTCTGTGTCCGACATCCCCCCCATCTCCTTCTATTTCTCCTCCCCCTCCTCATGCTTTTTCTTCTTCTGCAGCTGCTATGTAAGACCTCCCCATCTCCTTCTCTCTCTCCTCCTCTTCTTCTTCTTCATCCGACAACCCCCGGCACAGCGTGGCGTCAAAGTGAAGCGCTGAAGGGACAACAACGAATGAAGGGTGACGAACCCTTCAGATCTAGACGGACGGCGAAGCTTTTAGATCTGATCTCAACTTTTAATTGTCAATCTTTAATGTTTTGATTTTGATTCTGACGAAACTTTTATTATTGATTTTGAAGGTGTGAGATGTGGGCAGGTTGGAACGGAGCTTTCATATTTCATTTTTACGAGTAATTGATTTGTGACGATGGAATTAGGTAGGTTGGACGATGGACTGAAGAAGACGTGAGGGTGGGTGAAGGGGCAAAATAGGACAGTCCATACATTTTTTCACTTTAGATTAAAACACGTGCTAAGTCAAAACGAGAAGTTTCAACTTGGACGAAGGGAGTATTTATTACGGAGTACTCCGTATCATTCTTGTTACCATTATTGCATCCATCCTTTGTATATGAGCAATGCTAGGTTCACAAACAGAATACTCCTTCCGTCTACAAATAAACTTTACGTTCACTATTCACATGATCAAACTTTATTCACTTTGTTGGCCTATTTTCGTCACCCCTTTGATAAAATAATATAGTCATGTTACCTCTAGTTTTGTAGATCTTTTGATATAGTTTTTTAATATGTAATTTTTATTTTTCAATTCTACACCATTTTTCATATAAAATGATTTGAAAATAACTTCAGTCAAACATCGTAACACGTAATGTAAAGTTTATTTGTGGACGAAGGGAGTACTCACAAACTTCACAAACTTACTATTTATGATTTAAAATTTTATTTTAAAATCATTTTAGACCATTTAATTTTTTACATGGAAGTTCACAAATAGTAAGTTTGTGAAGTTTGTGACTATTGTGTTTGTGAACCAATCATTTCACTTTGTATATATAAAGGGTGGAAGAATTTCTATATTAATCAAGAAATTAATCATTCTTCATTTAATACTCCGTAACATTTATACGATCCCGCGTATTGTCCAGCTTTTTTTCAAATGGCTCGGAACGATTCAGGCCACAAGCTAATCCCTCAATGTCCGAAGTTAGATACTCCATAAGAATATAAAATACGGAGTATATAAGAGGGAGGTAACCCACTTTGACTTACAAAGTAATGAAAAAATGAAAAAAATATTTAGAATATCTTAGAATAGCCAAAAACAATAAGGTTTTGAGGCTCGAGTTGGGGAGGCTTTTGCAGTCAAGGAAGCATTGTCTTGGCTCAAGGAGAGGGGTGTCACGGAGGTTGCTTTGTTTTCTGATTGTTCGTTGCTCATTCAGGCCTTAAACAATAGGCAAGCTGAAGACCGATCTTACCTGAAAATTATCGAGAGCGAGCGTAGGCTTTTGGCCTCTTCTTTCTCACAGGTTCATTTCTGTTACTTTTCAAGGCGTTTTAATTCTATTGCTCATGTTTTGGCTAAGAACTCTGAGGATGGAGACAACATTTGGCCGTCCGATCCGCCTGCTTGTATTTCGCACTTAATTGGTTAATGGCATGTTGTTTTTTGATTCAAAAAAACATGAAAAATGCTATAGCATCGGTTAAAATTCAAAACTATAAGCTTTATGAAAACTATGAGTCATGAATTGGAGTAGACACATATCAGAACGATCTGAGTTTTCAGATGTTTCAGTGGTAGTACATTTTTTTTTAGAATATTTGAACATGGAAATTTAATCTTATCTATTTCAGGAAAAAAATTATGATTTCTTTGTGGTATGTTATTATATAAATAAATAGATATATACATATATACATGACAAAATATAAAAATGTTTATGTACCACGATCCCATCCCATCTTAAAATGGTTCAGAACATGTTTGAATTAAAATTTTATCATTCCAAACAAAACGGCAAAATTGAAATATTTCAAGTTGGGACAATGATAGATATTCTTGCCCACACCTACACTATGTTTGGTTTAAGGAATTTGAAAGGGAAAAGAAAAGAAAATGAAGTGGAAAACCATTTTTCTTGTTTGGTAAGAAGGGAAAAGAAAGGAAAAGTGGAAGGAAAAGAAAATTAGGAGGCAAAATGTACCAAGTGGAGGGAAAACCAAATTCCTTCCATTTTGGTGAGAAAAAAGAGAGAAAATCATTTTCTTTTCTCTTCCTTCAAAATTCCTTGAACCAAACATAGTGCTAAAGCTACTACCCATCTGAGAGCCAATGGGATCTCGAGGTCCCTTTATGGAAGGAATACAAGCCTTTTTTATCCTCCAACCTCGAAACGATGTCGTTCCATTAAAACTTAAACATGTCAATTTAATCACCTCTTCCGTTCCAAACTTTTTTCCCCATTTCGCCGAGTTCGCCCCTTCCGACTTCCGCCGTTCGCCGCCGCCGCCGCCACTTGTCCAGTACTTAGCGTCTCTCGAGACCCGATAACACAACTCTAGCTCGTTGTTCGCCTGGTCTGGATCCGCCTCTGCGGCTCTGCCTGGGATAATCTGCCACCGCATCGCCGCCTCTGGCCATCACGGCACCACCACTTCTCCAAGGATCCCATTGAAAGGCAAGTACTTATATTTTACAAATAATTTTGAATATTAAGATTTATGGTGTGATTTCTTTAATTGTTTTGCATTTGATTTAAATTTTTCTTAATATTTATGAATTTAGTTGAATGTTAAATTTTCCAGATTTATTAGTTTAGTTTTTAATAAGAATGATCAATGAATTGTAGTTTGATAATAAAATCCTGTTATTTTAAAATTTTCCTCTTTTAAAAGTTTTTATTTCTAATTGTTTCAAAATCTTCAAATGTGAGAATTTGGAACAAGTGCAAATGGAGAGCTTGATTGACGATTTTGCATCAAAATATGCAAAGAGAATCTCTCTTTTTATGTGAACTTGTAGTGATGTTTTCTTCTTCATTGCAACAAATTCAATAATTATTATGAAAATTCTTTAAATTTTACGGCCAATTTTTTGTTTTCGCACAGGGCCTGTTTCTGCTTCAGGCCGGCCCAGTATATAATTGATTTAATTCATATTTTTTATTGTGTCAAATTGTAAATGTATTAGGAACTACAATGCAAAAATATTTCCCAAAAAAAACAAAGATTTTTATTAGATAAAAATGTTGACATATTTTCACTCATCATTTGATTACATAGAATATTAAACTCATCTTTTGGTTTCTAACATTTTATATGTAGTTTGCCTCTCTTTTGGGCACATCTCTAGTTTCATTTTTCCCTCTTCTCCATTTGCCTTTCTTAGTTCCTTTTTTCCTTAGGTAAGATTTATACCCTTGAATTTTTTATCTTCAAACAAAAACTCACGATTCTGAAGGAATTTGATCCCAAGTCTTTCAATGTATAAGATTGTGATGAGATACCTAAGAAATCCAATTTTTCACACTCCTGTGCAAGCCTGCTCTTCAATCCATTACTAGATTTTGTGGTTAGTGGATTCTCTCTTTTCAGTTCTTTTTTAATTTTTAAATCTTGATAGATTCTTCATCCACATGTGTTTATTCTGTTTTTTGGACTAATAGAGTAACACGCAATGGGTCTGAGCAAATCTGAAGTGAATTTGAGAAGATTACTTGAAACTGCACCACAACAGCAAAATCAAGCAAAGCTCATACATGTATGTCAAAGTCTTGTTTCATGTTGAGTGGTTTTTTAATAGCATTTTTAGATGTTTATTGAAATTTATTATATACTGGTAAAAGATTAGTTTATTACGGAGTAGCTTTTTTACACAGTTCTTTGAATATTTGTGTCTTTGAAATCATTTGTGGTAATTCTGAAGTTATGTTTGAAGTTCTATTGATATGTCATATGTGTGTGTGTGCACATTTTCATACGATCTTTGGAGTTCCTCTCTGATAGTTTGCTCCATACAGAAAATGTATTTATTGGGCCAAGTGAAAACTAACTATTTTAAAGAAAACATCTTTCCCTTTTCAAAGGGATTGTTTTTCACTTCTTCTAAACTCATAAGAATAAGTAAAAATTAGTAAGAAAATAATGCCGACGGATATGATGTTAAAAATATAAAAGTTTGTTCAAAAATTAATTTTGACTGAATTTTCCATGAACAACCAAAAAATATAAATTCAGTTATTTTCAATAAAATATACTCCGTATTTTCTAAGTATTACTACAATAACTTCTTGAGACAAGTTATTCTTCAGAAGCAAATGAACTTTAAGTGTTTAGAACTGTTCGTATATTATTTGTAATGCACATCTAATAAGATAAAGGTGATCTTTTTTTGATATGGAAAATTTCATTAAGAGAATCTAGTCACTACTAATTTTTTATTTGATGGATCTTCTTAAGAGCAGCAATAATAATACATCTTGTGGAAGGAGTAACCGATATAGAGTAGAACTATAATTATAATAAATACAAGATTTAAGTTATGTCTCATTGTACCAGATAATCTACAACCGCTTTGCCTCTTAGAAAGAAGAGTGTGAATCCTGTCCACCCTATACCACTGTTTCCATGGTGTATCAGAGGATGAGTAGATGTAACTAAAATGTAATTATTATATCATGCAGAATCTGATTTGGATATGACATTCATGTCGAAACTTGAGATTATAGGAAGGATATTAGAAATGAGTTTTATAAGTTACTTGAATCCTAAGTACATATTAAAAGAAGATAAAGAGGAAAATCTCTTGACAACGTTAATATTGTTGCTCTTGTGAGATATTAAGACATGTAAGTTGCTCAAAACCTTGCTCCCTGCAACGTTTTCAAATTACTGAATGAACCAAGATTCTCTATTTTTTTTCTTTTGGTTTCCGATAGCCAAGTATCAGAGCTGTCTGTTCTCAACCTTAGTTCCATTTGGTGCAATTGGTGGGCATGTATTTCTACATGTAGCCTTTTTCTTTATTCATATTGGCAATTAGTTTCACTCATGCATAACAGGTGGTTAGGATCTATTTAATTTTCAGCTATGGCCTAGTTTATCGTCAAAGCAGAAAAGTTGCAATTCATTTCCAGGACATCCTTTCAATAGTTAGTTGTAATCGGTTAAAATATTTTCTTATTGGTTGCTATATTTTGTAGTATGTTGCCACATTGCGGGAACTGTTGGAGCAGTTGGCCGAGGAGAGGAGTCCAGAAGGACTGCCTAGGTTTATATTCTTACTACTATTTACACAATTTGAAGTAATTGTCCAATTGATCATTATGCCAACTTTTGTACATGTGATTGTTTTTGGCATTGCAACGTATTTTTCCTCTGAAGTAGCTATAGTTTTTATACTATTTACACAATTTGCCCTGTTTGAAATTGCTACTCCGTATATCTTATACCATTCTACTAGATCAATTTGAAATTTTCATGTCCATAGAAACTTAACTAAAATGATAGCAGCCATCGTAATTAACCTCACTTAATATAGTCAGAATTTACTTTTTCCCAATAGGGTCTCCAAAGCTAAGGTGACTGAATATTCTGAACAAATCGAAGCTATTGCTGCTAAAGTGGCTGTACCTGTGGTGCGTGCACTAACCTGTTTGTTCACATTTTTGGAGTATTTTATGCGAATAACGAGACCCAATATAATATCAACTCTTTTGGGGTCTGGGGGGTCACGATGTACACAACCTTATCTTTGTAAAATAACAAAGAGGCTTCTTCTGTTAGACCCTTGATGCATTGCCTCATTTAATAGTTAATGCCCAAAGCTTCATTGAAAGTAAGAAACAAAAGAGTATTGTATGCTAACATAGTTTTAAAGTCTAAAAAATATTATAGCTCAGATCCCCCCCCCCCAAAAAAAATATTTTGATGTTGATTCTGTGCTTTGATGGCTTGCCTTAATGATCTTTTCTGTTTGGGATCCACTCTTGTCCTCAACAGGAGTCTCAAGAGCCTACGGTTGACACGTGTGATGTTGAAACTCATAAATCGGAGGGGGAAAGTGTACAATCTCCTACAGGAGGACTGAGAAGAAGATTTGTGTATGTGGAAAAATATATATAGCTGATGGCAGTTTTTTTAATATGATGATTTTTTTGCTTTGGTTTAAGTTTTAATATTAAAGCGGAATATAGGCCTCCGTCAAATGCTATGGATACATCTCTAGATAAGGTGAGTTCCGGCCCATCTTCTCCTGTCAAACTTGATGATGCTGCATTGAGACACATCGATAAGCATAGGTATAGTTTTGCTGGCCAATTCTCTTGATGCTTCTCTCTTTTGTACATGCAAATTTTTAATTTCAGCACGATGTAAAGAATACGTTATGAGGGCTAGTATTGTGAAACCTTTACTATTCTCGTTTTTGCATGGCCACACCTTTCAGGAAACTTCAGGAGAGCATGACGGATGAAATGGTCGTCTTGGCACGACAACTGAAAGAGAGTAGTCTCATGATGAACCAATCCATAAAAAACACAGAAAAGGTAATCTTTCTTCCTCCCATGGTATGGAGTCTTAAAGTGGTGTTACAGTACCCCTCGACTCATTTTCCGTTTTCAGAGGATGCACATACATGAGCTTGTTTCTGTGTGTGTGTACGAAAAATGGGGGCAGAGGGAAGTTATTGGGGGCAAAGTACTGCTTTTGCCCCAATATGTTTCTCCACTTGCTTTTTTGGCACATGAACCAAGAAGATTTGAATAAAGTGGTAAGATGACTGAAATATCCCCACTTTATGGTGGGACGTTTATCGAGTGGGGTTGAGATGGGGGCAAAAGGGTCAATGTGACACTTCTTCGCCAGAAATGGGAAGTGAATGAATACACGCCTACATCGGGATGCAGTAGTTTTTTCAACATCTACACATAAAGACTAAGATGAAAACCTAACTTCATCCCCTTAAAAAAATATTTGAGATTTGCATTTATTTTTTCTTGCTTTTACGTCAAATGGATCCACTGGGTGGTGGTGGTGGTGGTGCAGATACTCGACTCAACTGAGAAAGCGGTGGAGCACAGCTTGGCGAGCACTGGGAGCGCCAATACTCGTGCCATGAAAGTGTATTCGCAGAGCTTCAAGACAGCTTGTTTCACATGGCTTATGATCTTTGTCATGACATGCATCTTTGTCATGGTCGTGCTTCTCATACGCATCACCTAGCTGCCAACCCTTCAGGTTCTACTCTGTTTTCCGACCCAGCAAGCTTCTAAAAATATATACTCCATGTGTGTGTTTGTATATATATATATATAGGGGCTGGTTCAAGTGAGAATGCACCTTGGTGAAAGAAATAAAAATAAAATCTAGCCTTTGGATCGGATGCATCGTGCGGCTCAGATTTTGAGATAGTGCATTTTCAAAGGATTTTGATGCATTTCGACATGATGCATTTTTAACCCATTTTGGTGCACCTAATTTTGATTCAATCTTGACCGTTAGATCTCATAATCTAAAGCACCAGATTCATTCTTATTTCTTTCATAAGATTGCATTCTCACTTGAACCAATATATATATATATATACACACACACACACACACACACTGTTGACTCCTAAAGATTGATTCTTGTTTCAAATGACCAAAGGGGTACAATATCACTATAATAGGAATACACATCCAATTCGTATTTAATTGTCTGCTTTTCCAAAAACGAATCGTTGAATTACGTTCAATCGTTCATGTACCCTTTTTTTGTTACATTCATGCGAGTTGATAAACAAAATGAGTGTAATGATTCGTTGAAACTCATTTGAAACGAATCCTTAAAGCTACTTCATTCCTCTCCTCTCTCCCTTTGCGCAAGCGAGATTACATATCTTACCGTCGAGCGACTTCGTACCTCTTCCACTGCGCCAGCATAGATACTACATTGAAGATTATAGTAATACCATAAACTAGTCATTGCGTCTGTTATTTTCATACGAGTTCGGCTTGATAATGCATGAGAATTTACATCCAAATCAATTTATTATTTTTGCATGATTAGTTATAGGGATTTTTATACTACCATGCACTTGAGTTTTTAATTAAACGATTACAATTAATTGCTAGAACATTATTAATAAAATTCAAATTGCCAACATTTTTTTGGTGGCGTGATGCATTATATGTTGCAAATTTAATTCGACGGAGGTTTAAAGCATATCATGAATACTCTCTTCATCCCAAAATGAATTACACCCTTTGATCACAATCACATATAAAATCCCATGATTTTGAAACTGACTTTATTTGCAAATTGGTACTCCTTTCTTCTACCATAGATCTTCCTATTAGTAATTTTTATTTGTCCTTTATAAATCTTCTCATTAGTCTTTTAACATATAAAATGCCTCAACTATCTTTACTTATTTTATTTATTACACTTCACTCACCTTGTTTAATATACTCCACCTATTTTCATTAAGGATGTTTTGGTAATTTTATACCTTTTTCCAACTCTTTAAAAATTACAAAAAGTCGAAATGAGAATATCTTAGCGGATGGAGGGAGTATATAAATTAAAAATAAAATGTGCATATTTAAAAACTATTTTAAAAGGTCTACAAATAAATAGTGATAATAATATTTCACTTTATCAAATAATTAATAAAAATATGCAAATAAATAAAAGTTATTGAGATGTTATAATAGCAATTATAATTGCTGAATGAGAAATAGACAAATATAGCCTACATAAGAATATCCATATTTTACTTTCTCGAGGGGCTATGTTGGGTCATGTAATTACTACTCCCTCCGTCCCGTTTTAAATCGACTGTTTTGATTTTTGGACATATTTATGGAAAAGAAAAAATAGAGTTAATTTTCCGAAATTGTCAGTACTTTTTAGAAGGGATGACGATGAATGAGAAGATAAGGTGGAGAAGAGTGACTTATTTAGAGGTAGTTTAGGTATTTTACTCTTAAAAGTTTACGAAAACAACTAACAGGCAACTTATTTTGGGACGGAGAAAAAAGGCAAACAGGCAATTTAAAATGGGACGGAGGTAGTAATTGTTCCACCATATTGTACAAATATGAATGCACAAAGAAGGTTATGATTTTATGTTGATTTCTATTCTCTTAATCAAAATATATCTTAAACCCATAATTAGTAATTTATTTACATCACGGATAGCTGATAATCACTTTTTTTTGAAGGCAGCTGATAATCACTTTGATAAAATAATTTTATCAGCCTTAGGGGGAGAAAATGAGGAAATAGACTCATTTACGAAAGATATTACGTGGAATGTGATATGATTATCTTTTTTTGATTTAAGAATAGATGCATGTGAACAAAAAGACCATTATTTTAAAAAAGGTTGCAAATTAATTGCTTGATGAATTCTTAGGAGGATGTATTCAATATGGATTTTGTAGTATTTTTTACGATTTCAAAAGTCCGTAGATATTCAATTTGGATTTTAAAAAGTTATATAAAATTTGGATGTATTCAATTCAAATTTTAAAATATCCTTCACAATCTAATAGTATTCAAAAATTGATAGATTTTTATAAAGCATGGATTTTGATAGATTTTGGGGCTTTGAGTATAAATTAAAATCTAATTCCAAATCTCACAAAAAATGAAAATATTTTGCTGCTCCACACGCAAGGCTCTTTCCAATACGCAGGTAACGCAGGCCTCGTCTCCTTCATCGTCTCCATCCATCAAAGTCAACCTTGGAAACATAAAACCTAGTTTTCTACTCCCTCCGTCCCAAATTATTTGTCACATTTCTATTACCGAGACAAAATATCAAGTTTTTTCAATTCATTTTATTTACATATTGATAAAGAAATAAAAAATAAAAATTACATATCAAAAAACTACATGAAAAGTTCTTTGAAATAAGAGGTGTCAAGAATATTTTATTTTATTAAATAACCAATGAAAACGTAGAAACAAACAAAAGTTCCCGCGACTGTTGAAAAAGCAAATGTGGCAAATAATTTGGGACGGAGGGAGTATGTCTTAGCCGCCTAAATTTAAAACAATAAAAGTTGTCTAGTAGATTCTCGTTTTTAAGAAACAGAAATCTGTTTTAAAAGGGAATATATACATATTTGCCAAACGTGCTGTAAATCTCTGTAGAAATAGTAATTTCGTTCAATTGACTTTGTAAATATCTGATGAGTTCTTCCAGACGAGATGCGAAGTTGTGACTGTTTCAGAATGTGTTTCGGGGAAATGATTGGGTTTTCTTCATGAATCAATCCAACAAATTCCTATAAAATACATTAAAATCTATTTAATTTTGCGCAGATATAAAATAATCTATGAATTTTACACAATCCATGAATTTTAAAAATAGTGAAATTTACATTGAATAGAACTAAAACATAAGCCATTTCTCAATATAGGATTTAAATTTTTTTATTCCCTAAATAGGACTTAATAATGACTAGTGAGAAGAATAATGTTCAAGTGATGCTGGACATTTAGTTGAATAATGACTAATAGATAATGACCAATGGTCCTACATTGGAAAATAAAAACATATGGTCCTATATTGAGAAAGTCATTATCTTGTAGTCCTATTTAGGTAAATTACTCTTTTAAACAATCTATGAAAACTTTTAAATATCTGAATTAAATGCACCTTCTTAGATTCAAACAAAAGTCATATATTCTCGATATGAATGCCAAAATTAAAAATTTTGTAGAGAAATATAAAAAACCAAGAAAATTTTAAAAATGAGAAATGACTTTTGAAGCCAAGTACATCCATTCTCCCCAAAAAAGAAAATAAACAAATTAATGATGTTAATATAGAAAATAATACTCCTATCAACATATGGTTTTAGAGGAAACATATAGCAGCAGTAAGAAAAGTGCAGGCTATATCCACTAAAGGTTTCCCTTAACTTTTGAAAAAAAAGCTTTAGAAGAATTACTCTCAAGACCCATAGTGAAAAGACCATTAAGTTTGTGTTGGATCATACTCCAAACTCTTTTCCATAGTCTCTACACTCACATCTTACTATCTTAGTATGCAAAGACATGGTAAAACATTAATTGAAAGGTTCACATTGGGCACATGGGGCAAACACATGATTTTTGGGGAGTGGGTTCACTCTGGCGACGATCCGTGGCGGATACTTGATGATGATATGTCACGTGTGTACGAGAGTAAAAATGTAAATTACTTTGTGCATACCAACATACTCGAGGGTAAAGAGAACAAGAAACATCAGTAATCAGTAATCAGCACTCAGGACATTTGGATGTCTCAAAATATATGTTTCATTCCATTTAAACAAAGAAATGAGCGGTTCATATTGTTTCTTTCTCTTTTTTCATAAACTCTCTTTTTTCATAAACTCTCACCATACAATTTTATTTTTTCTTAAACTTTGTGAAAAAACAATCAAGGACATTTGTTCGGGGACGAAAGAGTAATACTTATATCGATTGTAGCGGTGCTACTTGCACCCATTAGTTTCCTTTTCCACTATCCCAAAAAAAAAACACAACTTATAAAAAAATATGTGAAACGAACCTCTAGATTCGTTTCACAATGGCAAAGGTGCTGGGGATTGAACTTCAAAAATAATTCTCAACTTTTGATTTGGATAAAAATAGTTTGGAGTGTTTAATTAGTTTCAACTTTTTCAAAAAAAAAAACAGCCAAACACACTCTATGTCCTAGTTTTTGTGAGACTACATAGGTTACGAAAGTCAAAACTTCTTTTTGATTAAAAAAAGGTCAAAACTTCATGAAGCATTCAAAGAGTCATTGTAAAGCCGGAGTTGAAGGACACCTTAGACTGGAATTTCTAACATGTTGTTTTCTTGTCGTGAGAATGTTCATATTTTGCATTTGTTGGAAACATGAGAGGGGTGACTAAGTTAACGTGGAGAAACATGATAGACAATGCGAATTGCGTAAAACACGTTTTCAGAATAGAGTTATTTTGGAGATATCAAAATACTTCAATCGTATAAGAAGTAAGTATTTGGAACGACTATGGAAGTTCTCTCTCAAAGAGTCAAACGTCCCCTGGACTTTATATATGTAGAGCAAAACCCTAACGGGCGGGTCTGTTATGCAAAACAACACGACTTATCCAGTAACATTCGAATGTCTAACTAAAGCATTCGAGTGTTTGCAAATCTTTAGAACTATTATTCAAGTGTTTATTTGATACTAAACATTGTGATGTTAGATGTCTTTTTGCAAAGAATGCAGGAGATAAATTATACTCCCTCCGTCTTGTTATATTCGTCCACTTTTGACTTTTGAAACTGTTCATTTAAACACTTTGACTCATCAAATTCTCTCAATGTGTAAGCCTAAATATAGTCATGTGTGATCTTGTTTGATTTGTCTTAACATATAGATTATTAATATATAATTTCTATAATTTTTTAATATACAAATTACAAGATAAAATGGATTAAAGAAATGTATTGGATGGTGTGTAAAAATGAAAGTGCACAAATACTCTGGGACGGAGGTAGTACATTCAAATGTATTGTTTTATACAAAGTGCATATGAATTTATATCACTTTGGACTCTGTTTATGAAAATTCAAAGGATTCTCATAAAACAACAACATCCATAAGATTTTTTTGAGGAGCTGACATAACATTTCAACCCCCTACGGCCCTGGCTCTTAGCCTCCGCTATAAAATTTGTAACATCGTTCAACGAGCATGCATTTCGTATCTCTGAATAAAAAGTACTCCGTAGTTTGTAGGAGTTTTTAGTTATGTGATTGATAATATTTGTCTAAAAGAGATAAAAATGCTATTCAAAAAAGTTTTCCATTTCGATGTATTAGACAATTATAATTCAATAAAAAAAGGTGTCACATTTATTTATGTAAAAAAAGCAGGACTATAGTTCTATTTTTGCAGAAGTATTTAATTTTTAACGCTTGTTTTATCCAAAATATAATTCATGATAACTATTATTTAAGAAAATAAAATAACCAAAAAGATTTGTATTAATTCTAAACAAATTATTCCTTATTTCCTCTGAATTTAAATCGTTTATTGTTGTTTGCGAGGTTTGGCTAAAATAATTTTCAAATCAATATATTTAAAAATTGGTATGAAATTAAAAAATAAAATTTATATATTTATGAGATACATAAAAAACTACAAAACAATAGGTGACAAGATTATACAAAATATTAATTTATCAATTACTAACAAAATTGAGGAAAAAAATATGAATCTTCCCAGATAAGAGTAAAAAAAATATGAAAACACAAAAATAAGAGTACTAGTCTTTTAAAACAAAAATAGAAGTATAGTGACAGCGTGATATATATAAGAGTGTTGATAGTGTGATGAAAAAGAAGTGACAATGTAATATGACAGTGTGCTCAGTCAATCGCCGGCGAACCACCGCTCAACGTTGGCGATCAGTGTCGGTGGATGTCAGTGATAGTGTGACAGTTATAGTGTAATAATGTGGTGAGTGTGATAAGATAACAATGAAAGTGTGAACTCCTATTTTGATCTTAAAAGACTTCGAACTCTTTTTATGATATTTTTCTCATCTTTTACCCTTATTCAAGAAGTTTTCGCAAAAAAAAAATAATTAAAGTTTGACCACGTGAAAAAATAAATAGACTCTTTAAATTAAGTCAGGAGGATAAGATTAAATAAATTGATTTGACCCGGCTGCGGGCACTCAGTCACCCAGACCGTGTGAAGAAATTTGGAGTATTGCTACGTCACACGCCCGAATTCGTATGAACTGAAACTCCCAAACACACCCGAGTCAATCAGTTACCGAAACAAACTCAGATTCAAACCGCTGACCCGAACCGCGACTTTCTTAAATTGGTTTTCAGTCCCACAGCTCAGTCTTACTTTCACATCATTTATAAAGAGCTCGGACACTCTTTTCTTCTTTGTTCATTTCTCCCTTCTCATTTGGTTCTCTTTTGTTTTTGAATACATATTTATATTTATATTTTGTGCTGCAAACTGAGAGATAATGGTGGTACAAGACAACAGTGGAATAGGTTCAGAGATAATGGGAGTCCATTACTCGAGTAATGGGCGCCCGGGTGAGAAGAAGAAGAAGAAGAATTCGGCCCGGTTTAGGGGGTTCGAGCCCGCGAAACTAATGCTTCTCGAGAGGACGGCGACGATGACCCTTTCTTCGCTTGTTCAGGGGGGATCCCATGAAGAAAGAGAGCATGGGGATGGCGGTGAGGTTGGTGCCGCCGCCGCCGCCGCGGTGAAAGTTCAGAAAGTGTACCGGAGTTATCGGACTCGCCGAGCCCTCGCGGATTGCGCCATCGTCGCCGAGGAGCTATGGTATGTCGTCGGTGTAGAGGGCGAATGGATCACATGACGACGGTCATGAGATGACCTGAGGGCGTTATAGTGGCGCGTTCGAAAAACTGACGGTTTCTACTCTTCTAAACCGCGTGAGATCCTACTCCGGCCCGACTCGGACCTGGCTCCGTCACCAAAATTCTATCGCACCTAACAAATTTTGTTGACTTTGGAGTCAAATTTTGACTTCAAAGTCCACTGAGCTTGTGGGGTGCAATTGAAGTGCAGAGATGAGTTCGGGTCGGGCCAGGGGATTTACCTAGAAATTAGGAAGAGTAAAAAATAAAAATTGGTGAGGGTGAGAGGATTAGATTTGAGGCATTTAGGTGGCAACCCTCAATTTAATTTAATAGTAGTTCCTTTTTTTTTAAATAATAAAAAAAAAATAGGTGGAAGGCATTAGACCTAGCAGCATTGAACCAGAGTTCGGTGTCCTTCTTCAGCGAAGAGAAACCAGAGAGCGCCGTTTCTCGATGGGCCAGAGCGCGTACGCGAGCTGCCAAGGTCGGGAAGGGCCTCTCCAAGGACGACAAGGCTCAGAAACTGGCCCTTCGCCATTGGTTGGAAGCTGTAAGTCTTCTTCTTTTTTTGACTTTAATATCCCATAGTTTGTTCTTCCCTGCACGGATTCCTCGAACCAAAAATTAGTGTTTATCTGTGTTTTCTTCAGATTGATGCGCGCCATCGGTACGGACACAATTTGCACCTCTACTATAATGTCTGGTTTCAAAGTGAAAGCCCTCAGCCTTTCTTCTACTGGTGAGCTTTTCATTTTGTTTTTTTGGGTTTTTTCTATCTTGTTGTTTTGAATTGAACCCATTTTTTGTCCAGGAAGTAAGAATTGATTGCGTTTAACTCCTGAGGTTTGGTGGAATTACTAAGAGAGCTCTTGACCTGTCAAATTTCTGAAAATGGCACTGATAAGACGAAAATTTTTCGGTGTTCGAGTTGGGATTCTCTTATATTAATTTGTTAAGAAAATTTTCTTTCTTTTTTTTTAAAGAGGAAACTAGGTAGTTTAGGTGACAAAATGCATAAGAAATATTTCAATATGTTCAATATTTTCAGAGAGAGAATGATTCACGAATTGAACAATCTAACCGGTGAGAGGTTTGTTCTGTTCGTTTGTAGTTTTCAAAGGCATCGAGGGTCATTTCGTATTTTTGCTGCAGTCTTAACTTCTCTATAATTTAAGTTGCCATTAAATCAAATGTATCTTCTCAACTCTCAAGTTAATTAGTTGCTTCTACGAATGAAGGTTGGATGTGGGAGATGGGAAAGAAGTCAATCTCGAAAAGTGTTCAAGGGCAAAGTTGCAAGGCCAATGCATTCAATATCTTGGGCCCGTAAGTCTCCCCGAATATGATTTTACCTTACTTTGTAGCTTGCTCATATGTGTTTTGGTTCTTTTAATTGCTAGTGTCATTATTATGTATGCTACGTGTCGTGCGCTTACTCAATTTTTTTTCTCAATTCTTTCAGAAAGAGCGCGAACGTTATGAAGTCATGATTAAAAATGGGAAGCTTGTATACAAGCGGAATAACGTCTTTGTGGAGACAATAGAAGGTTCAAAGTGGATCTTTGTCCTTAGTACCTCACGGACATTGTACGTGGGGAGGAAGGAGAAAGGCACATTTCAACATTCGAGCTTTTTAGCAGGTGCAGCTATCACTGCTGCCGGAAGGCTGGTTGCCCGCGGCGGCGTTTTGGAGGTATATAAAAGATTTGTTTCTGCAAGTGGTGATGATAGATGAATGCTGTGAAAAAATATGGGATTGTTATGAATTTGTTAATAAGGCACTCGTGCATTTTTTTGCAGGCAATTTGGCCTTATAGCGGTCACTATCTTCCAACCGAAGAGAACTTTGAAGAATTTATTAGCTTCTTAGAGGAGCACCGTGTAGATCTCTCGAATGTTAAGGTAAAGTTTCAAACCATTAAGGAATCGTTCATAAGACACTTGAGCTTAATTATACTAAAAAATGTTAAACAACAATACTAATGATAATAATAATAATTGGGCAGATATCACTCAACTACTAAGTTAAAATTTCACACGAACAATTAGATTAAATGGGCCACAAACCGTTGAGTGTGTACCCTGTGTAAAGACTCACATGCCCCTAGGAATGGTTTTTTTAACAGACACTTTGGAGAGACAATATGGGACCAAAATCTGTTTTGATACCATGATAAAGTAATTGTATTACTCAAAATAATGAAGATATAAGAAGGTATATATGGAAACCAACCCTATTAGACTTATAAAGCTACTAAATAACAGAAGGACGAATATACTAAGGACTACATGTGACACTAAGAGAGTGTTTGGGGTTGTATTTGAGAACTTTTGAGCTCTTGCTTCGTTAAAATGTAGTTTAGCGTGTTTGACAATCTATTTTTGTTTATAGTTTTAAGCTTCAGAAATCTAAAGTAGACTTCAAAAGTGCTTTGAAGCAAAGCTAAACTAAGTGTTTCTGTTTTTTCTAGAATCTACCACAACTTCAATCACTCGATTATAACCAACATTACTGGTTTTTTAAACAACGAAAATATGCTTACAAAAAAACGACATGTAAATATCGCTGATTACACATTGTTTTGGCTTTCATCAGAGATGTGCAGTTGATGATGACCGGGTTTCTTTCAAGGTAGTTCACGACGAGGGGAAACGCGCACCTACACATCTTTCTGCTGCTAAACCCGACGATGATCACAAACCCAACGATCATTTGCCAAGCAAGTGGTCAACTGGAACGGGGCCACGCATTGGGTGCGTAAGGGACTACCCTACAGAGCTACAATTCAGGGCACTTGAACAGGTCAACCTGTCCCCTAGGGTGGCCAATGGCGGCGCTGGGTTCTTGGACTATGGTCCTGTCCCATCGCCGTGGCCTAGCCCTAGAGTCAGACTGTCTCCTAAGATTGCACACATGGGGTTGCCTAGTCCTAGGCCTCTCACTCTCATCCCAGCTTCATCTAGTTGAAGACTAGCTACAACCTTTGTCACATACGTATTTTTTTAGTCAAACTAAATAAACTTTGATTATTAAGAGAAAAGTTTTAGTTTGAGATAAGGGGTTTTAAGAGAAATGTTAGAGAGTTAAAGATGTACGATTGGAATTTGTTTTGTTGATAGAGAAATTTTGCATGTTACCTGTTTATTTCTTTACATAGAATGATTGCTTTTGAGATTGACCTCGTTGCTTTCACGCAATTGATGATTTAGAAACAATGACCATAGTAATGCATCTAAGGGGCTGTTTGTTTCAGTCTCTTAATGGTTCAGATGTCTGAATGGTTCAGCACTTAATGGTTCAGACTGTTTGTTTCAGCCTCTTAATGGTTCAGATGTCTGAATGGTTAAGAGATTTGCCTCTGAATGATTAAGTATTATACAGAGTCTGAATGGTTAAGACCTCTTATCTGAATTGATCAGACATTTGCCTCTGAATAGTTAAGTAATATACTAGCTCTTAATGGTTCAGACCTCTTACTGGTTCAGCACTTAATGGTTCAGACCTCTTACTGGTTCAGCACTTACCGATTCAGAAGTTGCCATATAGCCCTTAAATGTTTTACTTAAAAGTCTTTGCATAAAGGACGAGTTTATCAACATTTAGGCTTTGTTTGGTACACGAAATTCAGATCATGGAATTAGAATTGAAAGTTTTAATTCCAATTCTGTTGTTAGGTAATACAAAAAAAATGAAATTGGAATTGAATTCCAATTTCAAATCTTCCAATTCCACGTTTTTAATCCATAGCACATGTAACAATTAGAAATCTAAAATTTGAATTCTACGAGTCAAAAATCAAATCAACGCATATCTTTTTTGTTTTATACGTAGTAACAAACAAACTAGTCTAATAAAATGAAAACTAAACATTTAAAGTTTCAAATTTTTAAAAAATAAAAATTAAAAACAAAAAATTAAAAACAAAAAATTAAAAACTAAAATTAAAAACTAAAAATTAATAATTAAAAAGTTGAATAATAGAAATACAAAATTTCACATTTAAAATTTACAATTTAGAATTTACAGTTTAATATTTTAAAATTAAAACATAAAAACTTAAAGTTTAAAGTTTAAGATATAAGAATTAAAAATTAAAAATCAGATATTAAAAATAAAAAATTAAAAATTAAATTTAAGTTTTAAAAATTACTCCGTAATAATTAAAAATTAAAAATTAAAACTAAAATTATTATTAATAATTTTTAATTTTAAATTGAAAAAATTTAAAAATAAAAATTAAACTAAAATTTTAAAATTAAAAATTAAAATTTTAAAAACATAAAGTTAAAATTTATATTTTAACCTAAAAAATATAGAAAATTTAAAAATTAAAAATTAAAAATTAAAAATTGAAAAATAGAAATTTAAAATTTTCACATTTAAAATTTACAATTAATAATTTAAAATTTAAAATTTTAAAATTAAAAAATAAAAATTTAAAATTTAAAGCTTAATATATAAGAATTAAAAATTAAAAATAAAATATTAAGAACAAAAAATATAAATTAAATTTAATTTTTAAAAACTCTAGATAGTCATTATTTTATTAAATTTAAAAAACATTTCAATTTGTCAAAATAAAAGAACTTTCAATCCTCGCGCTTAAATGGACGAAATGTATTTTCAGAGTATAATATCACAAATTTCAAAGACCTCGATTTATATTTGGGATATTGTAAGTGATGGATGTATAATGTATTCCACCTAGGACCCGATCCGAACCCGGGTCCACAACCATTACCCGGTCAAGATGCGAACATATCAAGATAGAAGGTTTGAGCTAAAATGGAGTACTGGTCAAGTCCGAAAAAGTATACGAGTGTAGTGACCGATTTCAACGAAAGACTAAGCAAACATTCCCTCAATCTCAGCTAGGCGCTATGCGACAGAGGAGTCATCAGCACAAGATGACAAGGGAATAGGACAAAATGCTATGGGACAAAAGAAAGTTACCTCGCGCCACTTGAGAACGTGGGTTGATGTAGACGCGCGGCGCTCTGCCCCTTCCATTTCCTTACAAATACCTGTGTAACCTTCAAATGAATGGATTCGAATTTTATCTCTCTAGAGTTCATATTGTAATAGCTCCCAACATTCTCCTACATACTTAATAACAATTGGACTACAAGTGTTTCCACCTACAGTCCTACCGGTCATTATTTGTTTGTCTGTACCTTTCATTTTCTAGACTTAACAAACTATTCTAGACCCGATCTAGTACACTTTGCCGAGTGGTTAATTTACACCATCAGTAAGACTAAGAGTTCTTAACCATAAAATTGATGGTACTTGAAGTATATTTCTAATAATGTAAAGCTTTAGAGTTATTAGACTTATTGCAACAAAATTGAAGATACTTCGGATTAATTTTCTAGACGGAAAGTAATTTTGTGTTAGTGTTTTTGTTTTTTTTTTGATTCAAATGAAAAACGACCGCGTTTGCGTGATTTCGGCCGGCATGACTCTTTCCGCTCGAAACCTTTGGAATTGATTTATCAGTTTCACTAAACCTAGGCTAGGCTGCATATCTTATTACTCTGCAATTGGTTTCTTCTTTTCCTCTTCTTCTTATGGAGCCTCTCGTCAAAAACAAGTACCGACTCGGACGGAAAATCGGCAGTGGGTCGTTCGGAGAGATCTTCACCGGTTTGTTTTGTTTTGTTTTTTCAAAACTGAATACTTTAGCTTTGCTTTTGTATCACTCCGTATAATTTCATTTGACGGTGCAAGTTTCTTCAAATATTGTAATATTGAGTTGATTTTGTAATCAACTTTCTGGGTTTCTTGATGCAGCCACTGATTTGCAGACGAACGAGGAAGTGGCAATTAAGCTTGTGAGTCTGCTTTCCATTTGAAATTAAGTTGATAGATTCATTCATTCATGTTTTTTTTGTCCAGTGGTTCAATTAGTTTCTGTATTTTTTTGTCCGCGGCTGGTATCATTTTTGAAGTTTGATTTTATGGGGGCTTGAATTGAATATAGGGTTAAAACTTAAAGCTTTTGGGAAAAAAACTTTTTTTTTGTAATGTCAATTACTTGGTGTTTTGAATTATTGAGAAGGAGAAGGAAATGAATGGCTTAGAGGCAATTACAGCCAAAAAGATAATACTCTCCCCATCTCTGAATAAGGTTCCACAATTGACTAGACACGATTATTAATAAAAGTAGAAGCATGTGGTTGTGTTTTGTGGAGAAGGAAGAGATTGTTTGAACCACACAATTCCTTCCTCAAAAGGAAAGAGCAACCTTTGTTTGAGACAGATGAAAAAGGAGATGTGGAACCTTTTTAATTGACGGAGGGGGTAGGCCCTTTCCGTCTCACTAAGTATGTTACTAGAGAGAGTGTCACGCAAATTGAGGAAAAGTTGAGTTGTGTGGTTGATATTGAATTTGCAAAGAATCAATTGATTTGAGCCTCATAAATCATACCCAAATGAGGTAAAGGGTCCGACCAATGTTGAGAAAGAGAGCAAAATAGCAAGATGAAGGGAGTAAAGCACAACAACAACAACAACTACTACTACTACTAACAACAACGAGTTGAATCTCACAAGAGTAAGGTTTGGGGAGGGTGTGTGTACGCAGACTTTACCCCTGCATGAAAGTAGAGAGGCTGTTTCCAAAGAAACTCCGGCTCAGTCTCGAAAGTTGCATTGACTGATTGCTACTTCATTAATTAAAGAAGCACAAGCGGTTTAGAGATCCATTTTGCTTTATTCCATCACACCCCAAAGCCAAGAAATAGGGAGTTTTTGGCTCCATCGAAGATGATGGAAAAGAAAGGAGTGAAACACAACCTACCCAAATCAAGAAGCTGCAATTTAGACTATCATCATACTATGTGGGTTAAAGTGAGCTCTATACTACCCCCTCCGAATCACTATTTTTGGGACATGAGGGAGTGATACCAAAATTAAGAAAAGTAAGATTTTATAGTTTATATTGATGTTAAAAAGTAAAAAGATGTAAGATAAAGTAAGAATGATTGTGAACTACACAACTACGACAAAATTAATGGGACACAAAGGCTAATAGGGACAAAAATAGTGGGGTGGAGCCGTGGAGGGAGTACTATTAAAATTTATGGTGGTTTGGAGTTTCAATATGCTATCAATCTATCAAGTCTAACTGGACATATCATCCACATTGTCTCTTTTAGGGCCATTGACAGATAAAGAAAATGCTATTAACCATATAGCTGTATGTTTAACAGTAGACATGTTTAAATGCTAGAGTTTGATTTATTTTCCTGAAGTATTGCTATTTTAATTCCATCTTTCTGTGGCTGTTACAACTCATAACATGTTGAAGTGTTTGAGTCATCATTTTACTCTAATTCAGACGATGAGTCATTAGGACTTGTGATCTGCAACCGAAGGGTGGCCCTGTGCCAGTGTTGCACAAAGCATTCCACGGTCTGGGGAAGGGTCCCACCATGAGGGTGTAGTGTAGGACAACCTTACATAGTTATCTGCAACTGCATGCAGGAATATTGAGAACAGTCTCCTTTCTCAATGTTTCAAAAATAATAATTGCACTTTCATCCGAACCAAGTGTTGTACTTGTCATGATGCAACACAGTGCTTTTAAGACTCATTTTTCTGCCATAATGACTAATATGCTCTTTTAATTACTTGTCTCATGCTTTTCTGTTCTGGACTCAACTTTAAATGCACCCTGCCCAGCTTCATTAAAATTGACACCGTTACTGATATTGCAGGAAAATGTCCAAACAAGTCACCCACAATTACTGTATGAGTCAAAGATATACCGGATTTTACAAGGAGGAAGTAATGGATTTTTCGCTCAGCTTTGACTGAGCTGCTCCATTCTATTTTATGTTCAACAGTTGAATAATACTAGTAATTGTTTATTTTATGTTGTAGCTGGAATTGCAAATGTGAGATGGTTTGGAGTGGAAAGGGAGTACAATGTTATGGTTATGGATTTGCTTGGCCCTACTCTTGAAGATCTATTCAACTTCTGCAGTATGAAGTTTTCCCTGAAAACTGTTCTCATGCTTGCAGATCAAATGGTTCGTTCTTTTTCTGCGTGTTTTTTTTGTGTGGACAAATACTGGCACACAGATACACACATTTCCTTCTCCACTAATCTATGTATACACATATAAACACTCTTTTAATGTTTGCCACAGATCAATCGCATTGAGTTTATACACAGCAGATCATTTTTGCATCGAGATATCAAGCCAGAAAATTTTCTCATGGGAATAGGGGAGCGCTCAAATCAGGTCTTGTCTCTTGTTATTATTGTTTTGTTATTATCTATTCCCTCAATATTCTTCTTCTTTTTGTGTGTAAACAATTGTAGATATTTATGTCTAGTTTGTCTTAAAAGCAGGTCTATGTAATTGACTTTGGTTTGGCAAAGAAGTATCGAGACACTTCAACTCACCAACATGTTTCTTATAGGTGCTCATAATCATTGCTTATATATGTATGAAATCTCTGTATGTAAACACAGTTGCAGTGTCTATATATTGCCTTTTTGCTCCTAAAACAAGTTTGAATTCATGGAATTTTCAGAGATAAAAAGAAATTGACAGGAACAGCAAGATATGCAAGCATTAATACTCACCTTGGTCGCGGTAAACATTTTTCCCTATGGAATGCATTGCTCTCATTCCTTTTGTTGCTCAATTTTCACTAACTCAGACATGTAATGTACATTACAGAACAAAGCAGGAGGGATGATTTGGAGTCTCTTGGATATGTTTTCCTGTATTTCCTAAGAGGAAGGTGATAATTGCTTTTATGGATGTAACCAACTTTAACCAACCCTTATATCCATTATTTTAGGCTCAGATCAAATCTCACATTTTGAGTTTGTCGATCCACCACTTCAGCATTTGAGATTAGCTTGTTTCAATTTCAAGCTCATCTCAAATTAGCCTCTCAGTTCTCTTCTTTCTCTCACAATTATTTTCCCATTTTCCTTTTGGGGCCATGCTAGGGGAACCCCACCTTTCAGGCTTTCACATCACCTTCTCACAAACATCGACAGACATTGTTCAATGTCTGTGGATGGCTGAGGTCTGAGGTGAGAGTTGTAGTGGCTTTAGCATTTTTCTTTTTTTTAAGAAAAGAATTGTGTGATTGATATTATTATTTTTCTTTCTAAATAAATCTCAACCATACAAATTGAATTTTTTTTATTAAGTATGCCAAAAGCAATTAGAGTTTATCTCAGACAAACACTTCTACATCAAATTTAGTGGATCGGTTGATCTCGGCTCACTCAATGCATATCTCTAATCGTTTACATCCATATTTCAAGATTTTTGCCTAGAATCTCTTCTGACACATATTTATTAGTCTTCCCTGGCAGGGAATAAAGGCAGGGAATAAGAGAGGAAAGTATGCAAGAATTAGTGGAATGAAGATGTCCATATCTATTGAGGTAATTTATTTGCAATCTTGAATGAATGATTACTAGAATTTTTGAGTTGGTGTGTGAAAGGGAAGCTGCTGAACTGTCGTTTATTATAGGCCTTATGCCGTGGGCACCCTACAGAGTTTGCTTCATATCTTCATTACTGTCGCTCGCTGCGCTTTGAAGACAAACCTGATTATGCTTATCTGAGGAGACATTTCCGTGACCTCTTTATCCGCCAAGGTGAATACCTAAAGTAAATACTCGCTTCATTTCATAACAAGATTTGCATTAGGTTTAGTCACACTCATTACGACCAAGACAAATCAAACCAAACAAGCCACATGCGGGTGAGGGTAGATGATTTGCAAATCCCGACATGATCTGGGATGTTCTTTGTTTTCTTATTTTAGTCTATTTTGTAAGCTTTGACTTTTGTTTTGGGCTTCCATGTAACCTGTCTTACCTTCGGGGCTTCGGTCTAGTCCTCCCCAAACATGTATTTCGTTTTCTTGTAATAACATCAGCATTTAAAAAAAAACCTTCAGAATCCACAGAACTAGTGTCTGGGGACGGTGTGTGTACTCTCCTCACTGCCCCCCACCCCCACCCGCCTTAAACCTTAGTAACTTTACAGGTGTACAATTTTTACTTTTTCCTATGCAGGCTTTGAGTATGACTATGTTTTTGATTGGACTATTTTGAAATACCAGCAAACGGAGATGGAAGCTCATCCTCCTAGATCTTTTGTAAGTGATGTAACTGTATGCTAGTTCAGATATATTTACCATATGCACCTTCAATTCTTAATGATTTGTTCATCTTAGACTCATGGTTCTGGAACTGGCACATGGACGCCTCCTCCCATGAGCATCCCCAATGTGGAACGGCAGTCTGGTATTTTACTCATATCTCCTCCCTATGTTGATTTCATAACATGGCAATGCAATATATGGATTACCTCTTAGGCCAAAGCTACTTATTTTCCCCTATATTAAAGTGAAGTATCCCAATTGAGTAGTATTCTTATCGTCCCTCAATACACTTACCTGTTTCTACTTATGGTTGTCCCTAGATAAAACTTAACTTTTTTTTTGTAATGAAATGAATGTATGGTTGATATTTTTTCCCCCATTACATAACAGGTCAAGAAGGGAGAAGGCCATCAAACTATTCCCAAGCCAGAAATTATGGGCCACCTGTGTGAATGGAGAGTGTGTTCACTTTGGGGAGGGTGTTTTGATAGGGTACAAAGAAAACTCAAGCAGATAAAGAAGCTCTCCATTTTCCCTGGTATCTTCACCATAGCTTTTCTTTGTACTTTCAACTTTAAACATGATATTCACTTCCTCAGCATGTATATTCTCTTTTGTAACTGTAATGGTATATAAAACATATACATATCCCATATACCGGAGTATAATTTGACTTGGGAATGGGTTATAAGATGCTTTGTTTCCCTAGACTTGGGAATGGGTTATATGTTATCCGTCAAAGTCAACTAAACGTTCGAGGTGCAATTGATGTGGGGGGGGGGGGNACTATCAATTTGACGAACGGATAGATAACTAATTTTTAGGAAAGATTGAAAATTCACCTAATAATATTGATATCTATCTTTGGCCAAATACACCCTTGACCTATCAACAGGATCTCTTCATTTTTTTAATTACTAGCTTTATGAATACCTTTTACTAATACCTTTTTTATTTTAAGTTTTTACCAACTAGAAGGAGTAGCTTTAATTGAATACTCCGTACCTTTTTTATTTCATTACGGAATATTTTTTAATGGTTTTATTTGTCTCTCATTTTTTCAGAAAGAAGACTAATCCTAAAAAAAAAAGAAATACTGGGCGTAGAAAGGTTCGTAAAAAAATATTAAAAACAAAAAAATTATGGAAAATAATCTCAATTTTCATTTTATTGCACAAAATAGGTCATTTCTGCTAATCAGTCGTTAGCAGCATAACGACGACCTAAAACGTACACATCTCAATAAATATGAGTTTATTATGCATCATCATGAAAAATGCGATTATTTTTTAAAGACCTGATAATTAAAGGTGAGATTATTCTAGCTAATTTTTTCTTAAAGTCATAAAAAAAGTTGGTGTAAGGAATTTTTTGGAATGGAGGGAGAGGAGAGTATTGGAATATAAAATTCTCACTCTTTATCTGCGAAGGTATTGAAAATGAGTTGTTTTTCCATGGTCATAAGGTCTACATGTGAAATTTGGACTTTATCACATTTTTTATGGACTAGCAAATTGATCTTTTCATTTTTTAAAAGACCTAATCTTTTTATGATATCATGTTAGAAATTATAGAGGAAGAACCCTGTGAAGCAGAATCAATAAATGAAAAACAAGAATTACAACTTGATAGTTTAACGGATCGCAAATCTATTTTCAAATCAAAGTTATTTCGGTGTATCCCAAAATATTTTAATTGGATAAGACATTAATTAAGAACAAGTATTTTGATATCACTTTTTCAACCATGCTCGTGCGTCTCTATTTATAGAGAAGAAGAATTGCCGACCAGACATGGTTTTTCAATTTTTTCGCGTAAACTTGCAATCTTTCGTGCGGTATGGACAAACGCAAACTTTTGACGTTTTGGACGCAAATGTTCGCAAAGTTTGGACCCTGTCAGGGGCTGCCGCCCCTTGGACCCCGCTACTCGGGGGCTGCCACCCTTGGACCCCTACCATGAATTTGTAATATCGTTGAACGAGTGTGCACTTTGCTGCACGACCTAACTCGTTTGACAACGCCTATTCAAATTCTTGTCTGATCTAAGTAAACTCAATCACACGAAATAGCCGATGACACTAAAATCACCAACATGTCGTTATACTAAGGTCCTTAAAAGTTAAAATAAACATGAATCTTAGGACCATATAAGAATTTGTCATTGAAATTAGTCTTTGGACTTCTCCATACACAAATATAACTTGTGCTTTATCCTAATTGTTCTACTCGTGAAATGTGAATAATCTATTCTGTATCTTATACTCCCTCCGTCCCTAAATATATCTTACATTTGCTTTTTCAGTAGTTGCAGAAACTTTTGTTTATTTCTGTGTTTTCAATGGTTATTTGATAAAATATTTTTTTTACACCTCTCATTTCGAAGAACTTTTCATGTAGTTTTTTGATATGTAAATTTTATTTTTTATTTCTATACCAATATATAAATAAAATGAATTGAAAAAATTTGATATTCTACCTCGGTAATAGAAATGTAAGATATATTTAGGAACAGAGCGAGTACTCCCTAACCCTAACACGCTTCATGTTATACTTAAGGATAGATAATTAATCTTTAGGGAAGATTGAAAATTCACCTAATAATAATGATATCTATCTTTAGCCAAATACACCCTTGACCCTATCCTACCATGATTCAACTTATGATTTTTTTTTTCTCATGGAAATTAATGTACTTTTCAAGAAAATTTACTTTTTCATAGTGGTAGTTCATTATTCAAACAAAAAAAACAAAATAAATAAATAAATACAAACCAACAATCTAAAACACTTCAACCCAAGAAGATAAAAAAAGATACAACAAAGAAGAAGTAGAGTACTATATAAAAAAAAGGGAATATTTACAATCATTACTTCCAGAATTGCGCAATTTTACATATCTCCTCTCAGATTCAATAAATGACATCACTGCTCTTAAAATGTTTACACCATATACTTGGTCCCCGTCAATATCGGTGCTCTCAGGTCGTACTCGTGGCCCGACCAGCATTTGAGCACCGATATAAACCAATGACCTCACTTATTGCATTTGGGAGTAATTACGCAAAACCGCACAATTCTGAGAGTAACGGTGTGAATATTCCCAAAAAAGGAAAAAAAACGCTCGGGAGCTAGCTAGCTAGCTAGGTTAGCTAAGCTAGCTCCGGCCATGGACAAGATGAGCATACCTCATCTTGATCCACCTAAAGCTCTTCTTGAGAGAGCCTTTGAGCTTCCCCTCCACAGTGTATGCCTTATAGGAAGCAACCCTCTTCTTCCTCTGCATCTCCGCCGGGTCACCCAAAACCCACCCGACCGACGACGGTTTCCCTTTCTTGTTCTTGAAATCATCCTCCCTGCAGCTGTGGTTGGTTTTGTAGTTAGGGTTTGAAATTGAGTGATCAGAAGATGAATATGAGGAAGAAGAGGCACTGTGGCATCTCAGATTCTCAGGTTTGGGGTTTTTGTTGTTGTTGGAGGAGATGGTGGTGTTGGTGTGCCCATAGTTGCTGTTGTATGATTTCGATCTCATCTCTTCCATTTCTATTTTGATTTCTTTTTTATTTTTTTGGGAGGGTTAAATTAGGGTTCTTGATTTTCAGTGGGTTTTTGGGGATTTTGATTTTGATTTTGATTGGTTTGTGTGGGGTGATGGGGTTGGAATGGGGTGCCATTTTTTTTTTTGACAGAAGGGGTAACAGATTCCACGTGCACTTGCAGGATTATGCATGTACTATTGGATATACTATGTGGAGTACTGTATTTTTCTATTTAAAAAAAATGGAAAATATTTTTTTTTAATTTTTATACACAATTTTCTAGATTGGTTTGGGACTTCTGTCTCTGTTTCAGGTTTGTTTTTGCTTTTTTCACAGATTTGAGAAAAAAATTGAAGATGGTTAAAATTTTGTATTCATAAAAGTAATAAAAAAAATTTTTATCCATTCTAACTTGAATTACATGTTACAATTTACGATGTTTGACTGGAATTATTGTCAAATCATTTTATATGAAAGGTGTCATAGAATTAAAAAAATAAAAAATAAATATTTAAAAACTATATCAAAAAATCTACAAAGCTATTGGCGACACAACTATATTATTTTATCAAATAACTAGTAAAAAATAAAAAAAGAAAGTGAATAAAATTTAATTTTGTGAATATTAAAAAAGGAGTATGAAATTTCATTTGGGACGGAGAGAGTACTATGTATTTAAACTCCCTCCGTCTTGATTGAAGATGCTCATTGTTATTAGCAATATTTAGGTGATATTATTTTCGATTTCTTTTTTTAAATTAGTATAAAATCAAAAAAATAAAATATATATATTTAAAAATATCAAAAATTTACAAATCAAACGATGAGATGTTTACATTATTTTATCACACGAGTAATGAAAATAATGAGCAGACAACTTAAACTAAGACGTAAAGATTGTAAAATATCATATAGGAAGTATATGATATTTATTTGTTGATCTCAATAGTCAAAGTTTTACATTGAAAAGTCAAACTAATGTATAAAAAAATCAAGACAATGATTGTATTTCTTTAATAGAGCATATTCACATATAGGAACTAGTTAGTTAGAGTATGTGTTGTTGGATAAGAGGCTACTTTACACAAATAATAAAACTACTTTGTTGAGAAACTTTTTTTGAATGTTGAGAGACAAACTTAAAATGATGTAATGTGATTGTCACATATATATGCTTTTTGTTCAAAATTGTTAAATCTATTGACATCAACATTACCCTGAGTATATTTGCCAATTTACAAAATACATCAATCAAAAGTACTAAAAAATGCATATTGCTCACCGTTATACAATTAGGTTGTCTTTGGAAAATGACTTTTCGGCTAGCTTTTAGCGTTTTTGACTAACTTTGACTCTTTTGACTAAACAGAAATTAACGTTTCTTTCTTCTCTTACACACTAATTCAACACATATCAAGGATATAGATATATTACAATGTGTGTAAAAGCTTTTTTTTCCTTTTGAAGTATACACATGTCCATTCTTTTTGGACCAAGGTTTCTTGGGTTACAAGTTTGGGAAGTCAAGTTACAAGATGGCTCTGCGTTTTTTAGTCAGGGCCGGGATTTTGGCGGGAATGCTCACCTTTAGCTTGCGCCGCCTTCCATGTTCATGAGGGCATGGTAGTAGAGGAGGACGCACATAGGTTGGCCGAATATGCTGAAGAAGCACCAGAATATCATATTCCCCACCTGGAAACACACATCGCCATTATCACCACTTATAATCTTTGATTAAAGTGAATTAACACTAAATTACTTTAGTCAAACAAAAAAAAGCAACATCATGGGACGAATTGAAATGTTAGAATGTTTTACGTTACGTAATAGACTAACAATGAGGGATCATTGTGTTGAGATTTGAGAGAACTAGTGCAATTACATTGCATGATAATTGAAAGATATAAAAAGACTAAATTCTCATTTTAGGCCACCAGTAATGCAAATTTGGTCAATCTTTGCTGAATTTTGCAAAATTTGACCATGGTTGGGCACCTTGGCGAAGCAGGGGTATGATTTTTACAAAATTTAAAAGGGGGCAAACTATTAACATTGTGTAACGAAGGGACTAAAACTCATAGTATGTTCATTAAAAACACGTACCATTGAGCTCCTGAACTTGTTTTGCAATGCATTTGTAAGTATGACGAGAGGGACCTGATTCACATATATATTATATATAAGCATTCATCACCACACTATTCTCAATTTTAAACAATTTTTTTAGAGGTACGTTTTACGTTATACTAAAACAATGAAACACACCTGAAACATGATTCCGATAAATGCCCAAAACTTGAAACTTTGGCAAGGAACAGCAATACAAAGCTGCAAGAAATAAAATTTTATGTCACTTTAAGGTCAACCGTTGTTAAAAAGTCCCAGCCTAACCCCGATTAGTCTCTAACTAGGTGCTAGACTACAGTTTACAGCCCATCATGTGGCTGGTGCTTTTTACAACAATGAATTTTGACTAAAGCTTATGAAACGAAAGAAAAGAGCATCTTGCCTCATGGAAAATAGCAGAAGCGAGAAATGAAATCAAAATGGCAGCCCCCTGCATGGAGAATTAGATGGACATTAATTTTGAGCAACAAATAATTGATTCAATCAAACCATTTTCAGTTTATCCCAAATGGCATCCCTTCAAATTGGTATCAAATGGAAGGAGGGGACTCACTCCCTCAAGATTATCATAAATTATACTCCGGCCATATGCCATTTCTCATGTAATCCAAACAAACAGAGTTTGACCATCCAAACGGTGTCAGAGATTAATATCATCTGAAGTTGAGTTGTCCTTGAATACTTGGTTGTGAAGCAGAGATGACTAATATACACAGATCAATGGAGAGCCTAATTATGGCAATCCATATTTTACATCTAAATAAACTAACCAAACTAAGACTTCATTCCAATCTGAGCTACATCTTATATCCAAAAATCATAAAGTAATTGAGATAACATAAGCCAAGAACACTAACAACGGTAGAAAAGAAACTAAAACCAGAAGCCTACGGCTCCATTTGGTACACGGAATTCAAGCTATGGAATTGGAATTGGGGACAACAATTCCAATTCTGCTGTTTGGTAGCACAAAAATATGTGGATTTGGAATTTGTAGTGCCAAAAATGAATTGGAATTGGAGAATTCAATTCTATCCAAGTCAATTCCATAGAATTTCAACTCTCAATTCAATTCCAATCACGTCAATTTTGTGTACCAAACGGATCCTAAAAAAATTTGTTTACCTTAGGTATGCCATTTCTTAGGCATGGGAAATAAAGATGTCGAACCATCCACTTATGAACAGGCTGCAATTGTCAAAATTGAAGAAGTAATTACAAACAACACTGGCAATTAACGCATTCAGTCATTAAAAATGAAATTGTACAAGCATCAATATCAAACTGCAAAAGCAAATATTGTAAACAATGCATGAAATGCATATCACTAAATAGGAGGCTCTTTTCCTCTATGCAATACCCAATGGCACACAGATGCACTTCATGTGCACAACCAACCTTACTGCCAGCACCATTGAGCAGTTGCATTTATTTATACCATGATTGTATGACCCAACAGGAAAATATACTCCCGTCCCTAAAAGAACTTTACAATTTCTATTTTAGGCATCCCAAAAAGAACTTTACACTTCTCTACTTTCCCTTTTAGGAAATGAATATGTGATTCTTAAATTTCTTATCATTTCACTATGTTCAAAATAAATTTCAACCAGACTTTTTTACTCGTTACCAAACTCTCATTTTTTAAGTTTTTTAAAACTCCGTGAAGTCAAACTGTCAAGTTCTTTTAGGGACAGAAGGATAATTTCTTTTGGCTAATAGATACTCCCTCTATTCACATTTAACTCACCATTATGATATATGACTAGTGAAATTTGCACTAAATAGGACTTAAACATAAGTCATTTCCCAATGTAGGACTTAAACTTTTTTATTCCCTAAATAGGACTTAATAATGTCTAGTGGGAGGAATAATGTCCAATAATGATGGACATTTACATGAATAATGACTAATTGATAATGACCAATGGTCCTACATTGGGAAATAAAAACATATGGTCCTATATTGGGAAAGTCATTATGTTTTACTCCTATTTAGGTAAATTTCTCATATGACTATTAAGATACATCAAATCTTGAATGAATATTGATATACATCATGTCTAGATTCATTCAACTTTTGATGTATCACAAAAGTTATATAGGTCAGTTACTTAACTTACTTTTGAATGAAGTAGCTTTTAATGCCAAATCAAGGCACAAAATCAACTTGTCTTCTTAAATCTTAATGTATTAGAAGCAACAGATATATGGCACTCAATTTGAACGTGGGGAATTACAAATAAAAGAATTTCAAGTACTCAGTAATAATCTTGGAGATAATGAAATACTTAGAAAAATGGTTCTCAGAGAAGTTGATAACATACCATATTCCACATTCTCCAGTACTGATCACAGCATCCATGCCAGGGAGATCAAACACAATAATTGATCAAACCTCTGAATCTCGGATTAGTTGTGCAATATATATCATAGAATAATAATGGAGAAACATAGATCCACATTACCTCATCTATTGTTTTTGCATTCCACCAATCTTTGTAAAACTCACGATCACCAAACCGCAGAAGTTCTGCAATAATATTTAGCCTGCATAAAAGTAGAAAAGTATTTTAATTTCTTTCTGAGCAAGCATACAGATTTTGTTTTCAAAGTAATACTCTCTCAGTCCCCTAAATTTTATTCACTTTCCTTTTGCATTCCCAAAATCATCGACCATACAAATTTTTAAATCTGCATGCCCAGTCAAAGTGTGTTGAAATAAGGATGGAGTAACTTTGTATAAGCTGAACCAAGAAGATTCAAAAGCATATATTCATTGTACTTTCATCTCAAATCACTAAATATAGGTTAATGTATTTTATTATGTATCTTTGGAAGCTGGTCCTAGTTCAAATCTTTGAAGATTTTGATGCAAAAAGAGAAAACAGTGGTTGAATCTTTTTCTAGCCGCTATGTAAAGGCAAGTAGCAATTCACAGTTGCTCAAAAGTCAAGGAATATTTTACCAATGTTTTGAGGTATACCTAGAACGTGATTACAGAGCTAGTGCCTAGTGAAAATTAAATTAAAACGTATTGCCACTATATAGAAGATGGATTATAATCTTGAATAAACACAAGTACAACTAAGAAAATTTTGTCCATATCAAGATTGGGGGTTCAAGCTGCTGACACATCGGCCCTTCCTCGGAGTCAGAGCCTGCGCATGCTGAAGCTCATAGGGTTTCACTTTTTCTATCATGCACATTTGGTTCAGTCAAGTAGTATGATTTAGTCAAATAGTATTCCACCATACCACAGCCAAGTCTTAATCTCAACTCAATGGGTCGGCTACAAGAACCATAGAAATCTAATGAGGTTATCCACTAAAGTCCTTTTTCCATTCTTTTCTGTCAAGCACCCTTTGCTCAATAAGCCCCAAAGCTCTAACATCCCTCTTTACACATCCCAGGCTATCTTCAGTCTACTTCAACTTCTTTTTTAAGTCTCACACTCCAAACTTTCACTCTCCATATCACGTCACCTACTTCCCGGCGACTTGTGTGCCTGAACCAACATAACCATTTCTCCCTTATGTTATCTTCAATATCATGTACCCTAACCATCCCATGGATTTCCGCGTTGCACACTCTGTCTTTTTTATTTTTATTCTTACCACACATCTATTGCAAAATAAAAATCTTTGCCATATTTATCTTCTTTCTCAAACCTTTCATTATTCATCAACATTTACATCCATATTATAAAACTGATATAAAGCATTCACATTAAATTTTCATTTCAATCTTAGTGGTACATTTTGATCACATAATACTGATGTTGCTAATTCCTTTTAAGCCCAAGTGCATCAGTCAAATGTGTTACATCTTTGCCAATATCTTCATTTCTTTGTATAATAAATCTAAAGTGCCTCAAAGAATCACCAACTGATAGTTCTTCCATCCAATTTCAACACACTCTACTTTTTTACTTTAGTCATGTCATGCAAAATCTGAACTCCAAACACTCTGTTTTGCTTGAACTCTTCCTAAATCTTAGTGATTCTAACTTAGAGCTTAACCCTTCTTTACTTTCATTCACTAATAAGATACCATCTGCAAACAACTATGGGAGCCCATCTTGGACATTGTTAGCTAACTCATCCATATGATTTCGAGTAAGAATTGGCACAACTTTGATCCTTGGTGTAACCCTATCATGATAGGAAAATCTTTTGTCTCCCCTCAACAAGTTCTAACATTTGTTTTAGCATCACAGTACATATGTTTGATTGTATCAATATACCTGTGACACTTCTTTGTCATAGCCTACCAAAATACCTCGCTTGGTACCTTATTATAGGCTTTTTCCAAATCTATATGTTAGAATATAAAACCATTCTTGGGCCTACAACCACAAGTTTGAGCTTTTGGTTGAGTCGGTTCCTTGACATGGTATTGTTGACTTAGAGGTCACAAGTTCAAACCTCACTGCCACTTAGTTTTAACACATTAATATTCACGTGCAAGGCTTGAGCAAACATAAATCTCGCTTGCACGTGAAGGGGCGTGTTAGTGTATAAAAACCTTCCGTGGCCTACAACCACGCGCTTGGGCTTTTGGTTCAGTTGGTTCCTTGCCACTAAAAAGAACATATATAAATATTTGTTCCTTGCATTATCATTGTACACTTTGGACCTAGGACTTTGGACATTGCATGATTTTTCTTAAGCAATTTCATACTTCAGATTCTTCTCATCCAAACACATTCCCAACCTTTGGTAGCATATACGTTTCTCCTTAACAGCAATTTTGACATCAGCATTCCACCAGGTCGTATCCATCACTAAAGAAACTCTCCACTTTGATTCACCTAGAATCTCTTTACTCCATAGATGCAATTTTTTGTCTTCACTATTCATCCAAGTACCATATGCATCATCTTATACTATCCAGTTAGCTCCTACATCTATTTTATCAACAAAGAACTTGGTGTTGCGTTATCTTAATCTCCCTCATTTAATCATACGGTCCACCTGTCCTACATTCTTCTAGACAAGACTTCTTAAATGAATGTCAGGCACCACAAGTATGTGTTGAGTAGTCATGCTCTCTCTCAAGAGAACCTGAAAATGTGCACAGCTTTTCATCTGTGACAATCTAGTCAAAAGATAGTCAATCTATTATTGGACGTTCTGTTAACTACTATAAGGTCATAGGTCAAAGCAGAGCCCAAAATGGTCTCCTAGTTCATCTCTGCTTTTTCTATGCTCAAACCTTCCATGCACATTCTAGACTTTATCACGACTAGCTCTTATCACCAACCCCAAACCTTTTTGAAGAAACAAAATGTATATTCTCCACATTTTCATTTCTTTGACTAATCTCAACACTAAGTGCAATTTAGTGGCATGATCAGCCTCCAAGTGAAGGGGAGCCATGGCCCATGGCACATGAGCTAATGTGTTTCCCAAGACCTTGAGGTAACAAGTTCAAGTCGCAGAAGCGGGCAAAAATGAGAGGTAAGGTTAGGCAGTTAGCCCACACTACACCCCTGTGGTAGGACCCTTCATTGAACCCTCGCTTAGTGGTTGTGCACCAAGCTACCCTCTTATTCATCAATCCACCAAGACCTAGCACGTCTAGATCCTAAAAGACCTTGCTCATTTGACACCCTACCCGATCTAATAAAGTGAGGTGTGTCACTTCGTGCAACGATCTAACACTCTTGCATACTCATCACCACACCTGTGTCAGTGAAGTGTAGTGACTCATTGAGTAGGAAATGCAATCCGCAAGGTTGTCATTATGGTTTTGCTAATAAATGTGATTGGGTCTTACACAGATACAGGACTTCTGGAACCCTCCTTAAACCGAGCTTGGGACCGAAAATGAGCAACATTCGTCACCCACGATGGATATTAAAACTTAAAAACAACAAAGATTTCAATTAAAGATGATATAATTTTTTAACCATAAGAAAAGAGGGCATACCATAAATGAAAGAAGCAGTAGAACATGCAGAGCCAAACATATAAGGTTGGAACAGAAAGCTTCAAGACCCTTTCTACAGCATATAAAAAGTTTCCTTTCAAAGGATGCTGTGAGTTTTTTACAATTGGGTTGATGTACTGCATAAGATACAAACCATCAGCACAATTATGATAGCATAAGTCCTCTTGAATTAGAACTTGAGAGATGCGTTAATCACCTGCTCTATGATAAAACCCATGAATCCTGTAAATATTATCAACTTTATCAGTTGGCGCACCACCCAACCCTTTCGAATGCAAGCAGACCGTGGATAACTTAGCTACAAATCACGATGCAAGAATTTGGTGACACTAAAACTCCCAAACTAGAAGAGAGTAATAATTGAGCGGGTTGAACCAAAGAGTTGAAAAGATCTCGACATCTAAAATGAATCAACCAACAAGTGAGGAATTGTTCTAATTCTGGTTTCACATCACAAGGGAGATTCAACTTGGAGTTAAAGGTACAACAGGAGGGAATGTTTTCTCCTTATAATTAGTATATCGATGATGCATTGCAGCCATTAACATGTCCCTTCTAAACTAGGCACTTTTACAAGAATTGGCAAAGAAGAGATGTTCGATTAAACGATAAATTTGTAGTTCACTTATGAAATGCTATGGAACAAAACTTGCTAATCTGAAGCATTCATGGAAATCTTAACTGGACTCACCTGATAACATAATGTTGGAGCAACCATAAAGTATGCTAAGCTTTTAAAGCTAACCTCATAAGCATAATCAGTGCCTGAAGTATCCCCCTAAGAAAGAAACATTACACTAAGAAAATTTATGATCACACAAGCTTGCTCGAAATAAAGAAAAGGAAAAATAATTTCTAACTATCCCATTAAGAAAGAGCAGCATAACTGACTCTAAGAGAACCTATATTATCATCTAATAAAACCTTCTGAGTTGATAGCATTAACATGAAATAAAGTAGATCATTTTGGAATCTTTTGAGTGTATCCCTATGAATTTTGGTGCAACATGATGATGCCTAGTCAAGAAAACTGAAAATCAAAAGCTGGTCTGATCAGATTTTGAATCAGTCCAGCCTTATTATATAAAATCTTTTCAGTAGATACGATTCAGATCATGTTCATTGATAAGGGGTTTTAATAAACAAAAATTTTGATGATGACTTCTTTTAATTAGTCTCATCATTCCTTCAAAAAATGGTTGCAACAGGACGGGTGCCGGTATAAAGCTTTTCTAGTATGCTTTTCTACATGGATTTAGTGTTAACTAACTTTAAAGAACTAATTGGCATTGAATTTGAACATACCCACCCCAACAAAGTCAAGATTAAGATTATTATTACCCCGGTGCCTCAACGGCTCCCGCCCATTGCGGGGTAAGGGGGGTCGGATGTACGCAGTCTCACCCTATGTTTAAAACATAGAGCGGCTGTTTCCAAAAAGATTATTATTTTCAATTAGTAGAAGAAGAGAGTAGTTACTTTACCTTACCAAGTGATTTTTCAAGTGCTCTCATATCATAGTTTGAATGAGCATAAGAAACAAGCTTTAACCATACGATGCAAGCAAAAAGCATCAAAGTGACACCGGATAGAAACGCAGAATCACACCTGTACCATTACAAAAGCAACTCACAAACTTGTAAGGCATATAAGCAACAACAGATTAGTAAATCGTTTTTTGGTCTTGCAATTGTTATATTATTATACTCGTCCCAATTTGTTTTGCTTTTTTTCCTGTTTGGCCCATCCTAATAAATTGGGACGGAGGTAGTAGTACTTAGTAATTAGCATGGAACAAGTTTTAGAATGTTTCCTCTGAAGCAAGCAGTTATAGCCCGCACTTGAGAAGAAATAGTAAGACGGGAACCTATTTGTATTTTATTAAGTACATAGGAGATTTTGCACTAAAACATCATGATGGATAGCTGAATGATGCCCCATATTTACAGAAACTAAGATAGAACATCAAGTGGGATAAAATCCTTTTCTAAAACAAGGTAAGAGAAAAGCTGAGAAGTAGAAAACACACCCTAGAATAACAAGAACTGGATATAATATGGCAGCTGTTGTTATAATTATGTGTAGGGTAACTGCAACCTGCAAAATTACATCAATGTTAGAACATGGACACAAATATAGTAGAGAAGGTTTCCGACTTCTACAACAATGTATTTGAGAGGCTCTGGTTCGCATACTTCTATTCTATGAAGTAGTTTCACCTCTGAATGTGTAAGGATTCCAACAGTGCAAATAAATAGCAATTACAACTTACTGGGTCCGTTATGCGCTTCTTTTTGACAAGATTCTCAACAAGAAAGGCAGCTATAGGGAAAACTGGGAGGCTAAACCTGTAACTCAAAAGTGAGCTCACATTTTAGTTTCATTTTTTACAGGAAGACTAGTATAACTTCCGATTAGAAGGTTTGAGATGAACATTACCAGCACATTAGAACCGGCCAATCCATTAAGGATTTTGAACTCAACCAAAAGCCAGCACTAATTAACAGCCCATACTGCAATAGTAGCCATAAGCTTGTCATCTACCATTCAAGTATCTAGAACCTTAAAAACTGCATCACTTCGATGTCAAAATGAAGTTTAGGAAATTCTGAAGGGGAAGCAACTGACAACTAGACAACCAACTGTAGTCTCACCTCTCAACCAGAACAAATTAGAGATATCAAGAATAAATCAATAAAAGGAGCAGACCTTCATTAAATTCTCAATGATCAGCCTGCTGTTTACAGCTACAAGCACCACTATGCAAAGATTGAAAAGACCTGCATGGCTCTAATATATGAAGCAAACAAGCAGTTAACATCGTCAAAGGTAATACCGAACCTCGCTCTGTATAAAGATTAGGCATGACAAAAGGCCATGAAACAGAATATGAGATTAACATGGCGAAATGACAAAAAGTGAAGAGAAAACAAAACGTATGGCTAGTTTATACCCTCACTTAGTTATAAGGAGTACAAAGTTGCACAATTAATTGAAGCACAAACTGCAATTTTTCTTATATAAGTGGTACAAGCAGGATTTTTCAAGTTGAATTGCTGCCATGGCCCTTTCCTATGTATTTTATGATTATTATCCTGTGTAGCTTTAAAAGTTGCTAAATGCACCATTGTTTCTTCAAAATGAATGCATACAGATACTCATGAAGTTCAATAAACATCATCCTATTCAGTCATGCCGAATAGGTATTAATGAAAACTGAGGTTAACAGGCTTAACAGGGAGATGAAGAACGCATACCTGTTTGAATATGGCGTCAGAGCTGAGGGGACTCTCCTTGATTCGACGGTGTGCGGGGGAGGACGGCCGGTATGCAAATTCAAACTTCACGCTGCCGCCATTCGCAGCTCCGCGATCACTCCTCTCTCCTTTCGCACTCGCATCAACAGGCTCTCCTCCGGATTTACTATGCTCACTCTGAGATTGAAATCTCCCACCGCCGCCGCCGCCGCCCTTGATCTCGTCCTTATCCTCCTCCGAACCCTGCACTCCACTCTCCGCCGCCGTCGAACTCCGCCTCCTCCACAGCCCCCGGTTGACGCCAGTAGCATCCTGAATCTCAACAATTTCCACGCTCGTAATCGTCGCTCCGGCACACTCCGGCGACGCCATGACGACAGTCCTCACCGCCAAATCTTAAACTCTACAGAGAAAAGCTACAAATGTCAAATCTTAAATCATTTCACGGGGAAAAAAAAGATTTGTTTTTTTAGGATAAATTAAAAAGCATGGAAAAAAAGTATCTTTCTACAGAGAATATATACTGCATAGGGATATGGATGATAAAAGGTGACGAGCTGTTTGAAAAAATTTATATATACTCCATATTTTCATTTTATTTAAAGATTGATATAAAAATTAAAAATAAAATCTATATTTTTAAGAATTATGTCAAAAAATTTATAAAACAAAATGTGACAAGAATATTTTATTTTAACAAATAGTTAATGATAACGCACAAATAAACAAATACTTTTGTGACTTTTGAATGAAGAAGAGTGTAATTCTTTTTTAGACTAATAAAATATCTTTTTCTTTCAATAATTTGACTTTTTAATGTTTTTCTACTCTTACAAATAATATTTATATTTATACAAATAAATTCACACTTTTCTTAGTTGGATTTCGAAATGAAAAATCACATTTCTACTTTTTTTAACTATAAAAATATGTGACATACAAAACTATTTTCTTTTAAACAAAGTTTGCCAACATATTTTCCTTCATTTTTATTTTATGATATTTAAAATTATATTTCAAGTAAATCTATTGACATTAAAATTTATAATGCTTCACTTTCTGAATATTTGTCCAATTTCTTTTTTTTACATTTAAAATTGACAATCTTTGACCATCAATTCAAAATATTTATATTAGATGTGATGTAAGAATAATTTCATTAGATTTATTTTATAAAATATTTTCAAAGTATTGTTTTATCCAATAAAAATATCATATAATTTTTATTTAATAATAGATCAAATTTGAATATGATTAACATCAAAAAACCAAAACTGAACACATAATCACAAATGTAGAGTATTATAACTTAATGTAATATCTTAAATTGTGGAGTCGAAGTTCATTATAATTTCTCATACATTTTTTTCCGTGTCTCTATCCTTATTTTTAATATCACAGGAATCTCATCTTCAATGCCTCATAAAAAACAACAAAAAGAAACTCGAAGGCAGACTTTTGACTATAATGGAATGAACAAATTTTGGTCATACTAAACTTTGCATGTTTTTTATTTATTAATAAGAAAATTAAAACGAAATGAAATTTCGAGTTTTTTCAACTCATTTTATCTAAAAATTGGTATATAAATAAATTTAACATATTTAAAAATCACGTCAAAAATTATTCAAAACATGAAGTAACAAAAATATCTTATTTTATCAATAAAAAACGAGAACGTATAAATAAATAAAAAATTTATAAATTTTAAATAGTGAACTTATATGTAATATTCTTTTAAGATGGAAGAGTGATATATTTATCACACACCTTATTTAAATAGGGTACACACCTTATCATGCAATATTATTTTTATTTTCATAAAATATAACATTGATTATACCCTAAAACATTGATTATAATACAAATTCGGTTGGACATTTATTAGATTTCACACACACAACAAATATATGGTTGCACATTAATTTAATTACTTGGTATGAGATAAATTGAATGAATTGAAAATGGCAATACTCGTCATTAAATACGGAGTATTTAAATTAGATATACCCGAGTACAATTTAAGGTGAGGCTGATTCATTGAGACACTGTTTGGTATTAATGTTAGAGGTCAGTATTAGCGTTTTGAAAAGATTATCTAATGGTAGCTTTTAGCGTTAATATTTTCAGACTTAATGTACACCATTAAAATTTTATCCAAAATGTTAACGCTAATCAAAAACGTTGTTCCTATACTAGACCTCAATGTCTTATTTGTATATTCTCTATACCAATTACAAACCCACAATTTTATTTTATCAAAAATTATATTAATTTTATACGAGAAGATTAACAAGAGAGATTAAATATTTTATTAGAAGAATTCGTATATGGCTTATGACATAAAAACACAATCACTTAAATTTGTTCAAGGGTCGTTTCACTAAATATTCTTGGAATTGCTTAGTATTTTAATAATAAAAAATATTTCATAACTCAGAACTTGATCTGAAGTAATTTGTATGAGTATCTATACAATACATTTGGATGTATGAAGTTTCACGTATATCCATTTAGATATTCACTTTCGAGTAACTGAATGAATACTCATTTTTAAGCAATAGAATACTCATTTTCGAGTAATTGAATAATCATTTACGAGTATTACTGCAATTTAGAAAATCAGTATTTAGTTACTCGTAAATGAGTACTCATCACAGGTGTACGGAAAATATCGTACAACCAGTTGTATGGTATATTACAAATTTTTATTAGCGAGTAAATTGAGTATGAGGCTTTTTTTACAAGTTTTTATTAGAGCTGATAAATCGGTCAGTCAGATTGGATTCGGGTTTAGGTTACTTCGGAGTTGGGATGAGAATTATATGTTCATGACCCATTATCATCGATTTCGAGTCGACCTAGCGGATTATGAATTTGCATTGAATAAATTTAAAATATCAAAAATATGCATTAAGTCTATTAGATTTTTTCATTTTAAATTCTGAAGTGATTTTTAAATATATAAATTAATATATAAAATTAAAACTTCATAGTTTTTGGGGAAAAAATTAAAATAATTATGCAATATCATTAAAGTTTTGCTCGAAAATATAAATTTATACACTAAAAACGAATTATAAGAAAAAATATAACTATAATCTTATTTTTATAACATTATATTTCATTGTAAAGTATATAATTGTATAAAACTCTTACATTAGTGTGTCGATCAGGTTATATTTGGGTTTGATCGGATTTGACCCATTTTTAGTGGGTCATTTCGAGTTTACTATTAAAATTTTTGTTCAAACTAGTGTTTCCAGGTCATGATTCAAGTAAAAAATAGATCGGATCAATTCTTACTAGGTCTAGTTTTTATTACTCCCCATATATTATTCTACTTGGTAATGCCATTAAAATTCGGTCCCTTCAAACCAACCATTGACTGATTGAGTCTTTGTAGATGATTTTTAACGCTCACAATTTCATGAAAAAATCTTTGCATCCATCAAATAATTTATGGACCATTTTAATATTTATATAGGCGTTTTTTATGTAGAATAAATATTTATTTGCTTTATTTCTTGTGTTTGTGTGAGAATGTTCATCCTTTAAATCTTATTTTATACAATGCTCCTTTGACACAATTTTAATGTTTAGCTTTAACATTTTGAAAATCACTAGTATTTTAACAATTGTCATGAACGAGTAGAACAATATTCTTTTTCATTCTGAGAAAAAATCTCATTTATTAATATGATTCTTTTATCCCCTCTCCCCTACATCCATTAAAAATATAATTTTTCTATTTCATATTATGAAAAATATAGAGTGAAGATAGGAGAATCCAAATAGAAAAATTAACATACTTAAAATTTTGTTGAGGTACAAATTTCATCCCACATTGAAAGTGTAGTACAAGAATGACCTAAATAATATGGTAATTCAACCTCATTAATGTGAGGTCTTTTGGGAGGTGCCTCAAAATAAACCCGTGAGGGCTTGGTCAGAGCAAACAATATCACACTAATGCGGGACTGGGGTGATGGTACGCACAGTCCCAACATGTATTATTAGAGCCTAGGCTCGTGGTCGAGTGGCGTGTCCCGCGAGGTTGTATTGGACTATCGGCGGTGCAAACTCAACATTAGCATATTCGATTGAATTAATCTTAGAATAGTTTAATCATCATATATCATCATATATCATATCATATATCATATATATATATATATATATATATATATATATATATATATATATATATAAAGTAGAGCAGATTAATTGTGGTTGCGTCATGTGTCACGCCATGTAAGACTTTGTTTGCCAAGTAACATGCCATGTATTGCCACCTAAGCTCTTTTGCCAAATGTCATGCTATGTGTTTTATTTTATGGATAAATTATAGAGTCACAAACACTTCGGTCACAAAATACATAACTTTGTAAATTGTGCACCTCACCAAGTGAATAAAATGATGTTAATTATTTAAAAATAAATATTTAGTTTGTGTATTTTGGGATCAAAGTGTTTGTGATTATAACAATTCTCTATTTGATGTCATGTGTTGCCAATTTCATCTCATGTAATAATATATTATATCTTCATTCCATTACACCTTTTTACTTTAAAATGTGTGGAATTTAAGAAATGAGAAATGTGTAATTTTGGTGATATTTTCTTAATTTTTTCCTTTACTTTATAGTAGGGTCAGATATGATATAATGAATAAATTAACGGTAGATAAATGTAATGTAATATGTAGATTAAAAATTAATACTCCCTCCGTCCCAAAAAGATCTTTCTGTTTCATTTTTTGCGCATCTCATAAAACACTTCTATCCCACGTCAAATGAAAAAAACTTTCAAAACAACTTCTACCCACAATAAATGGGAAATGTGGTAAATTTTAGGCATTTTAGATGTGTGTAGAAGTGTTTTATAGGATGCGCAAAAAATGAAACAGGAAGATATTTTTGGAACGGATGGAGTATATATGATGTGATTGGTAGGATAATAATGAGTATGGCTAAAAGAGATATTTTAATTGAAAGTGAAGTGTTTTTTAGACAGATGAAAAGTAAAAGTGTGGAAATATTCTTTTGGAACAAAGAGATTGTTATATACAAAGTATATTTTATTAGACTATATTGATTCTTTCCATATACTTTGCTCATATTTTGGTCTTTCCCTATGATTTTATTGCAAAAAACTTAAAATGTATACGAGTCAGTGCGAAGCACGGGATTACCACTAGTTTGTTAGTATAAAAGAAGAGTGTGGAGTTACAAGCAAACACTTATAAAAAAAGTTGGTAGTATAATATGTGAATATCATTAAAAAACAACTCACTCAAGTTACTATTTTATACAATACAAAATTAAATCTCAAAAGACTAATATCAATCATACAAAATTATGTCTCCATGCATGGGTGGCTTCGAAGGTGTGCAAAGTGGCCAACCGCACATGACCTTTAAAATTTTAGGGCCCCATATTTTTAAATGTGTACTATTCTAATTAATTTTTATGTTTAAATTTAATATAAGTTT